AAAACTATATCAGAAATACGGCAGCAATGTTTTTCAAGGTAATCTGCCTAATTAACATTGCACAAATACCTGTTGCTTCGTAATTATTTAAAACTCCGGGAACCATATAATTATACAGTGACAATAAGATAAACGGTAAATTCAACATTTGTTGACTGCTGAACGTACTTTCGAAATGTCAACCTGTTCTCATAACCTCGAATGTTTATGAATAAACCATACAACACCAAACATGTGAACGGTTAACTCCAAACAAGCTAGTGCCTGTGTAATCTCATTATCCACTTTTATCAAGCAGCTTCTCGTATTCAGTTAATTAACTCCTGCTCCATTTGTATCTCCTTGTGATGTGTGTATCGTACAAGCGTGGTAGGAATGTATCCCTTCCTCGGTATTTATTTGGTGCTTGGGAAAGTGTTATTTATTGTGCTCCGGAAGACAATTATGTTCAATACTTGTTCCTCTGTGCCTGGAACCCGAACATCGATTGTCGATTGTCATCAATATAGAAAATTTATATCCGAGAGGACTGGAATTTTGCGTATAGTTCGAATATGAAATAAAAAGTGCGCGATTTCATTGTAAAAAATGTAAGTTTCTACCTCCACTTGAGTTTGAGACACCCTGTATCAATTGGTATTATCTTACAATAAACGAGACGTTAATATCTAAAACTTTTGAATTTAATATTTTTCTCTAAATTTCAAATTAGATGTTAAAACGGGTTGGCCAAAATTCAATCAATATTGGTTATTAACTCAAAAACAGTTGAGAATCAATATAGAACGTCCACGAAGCAACAGTCAGAAGGACAGTAAATAACCTTCGGAGTGAAAGGCCAGGCAGCCACCTCCCCCCAACTTCGCCAGCAGAAATTGCAGCCATCATCAGAAAAACCAAAGCTAAGAAAGCGACTGGAAGAGATGGAATCACCAACAAAAAGCTGAAGAACCTGCCGAGAAAGGGACTGGTAGCTGTCGCTAACTTGATTAATGCTATTTTCAGGACTGGTCATTTCCCAAGTATCTGGAAGCACTCGGAAGTCATCATGCTCCCGAAGCCCAAGAAAAACAGGACTTTCCCCCAAAACGACAGGCCTATCAGCCTGTTGCCCGCTCTCAGTAAAGTAGCCGAAAGGGTATAGACTTAAGGAGGAAACGAGCGAGCTTGATTTGCTTCCGCCAGAACAGTTTGGATTCCGAGGGAAGCATTCCACGGAACTTCAGCTGCTCAGGATAGTAGAAAGATGCACCAAAGAAATGAATTAGTACCGAACGACTGGAATACTCACACTGGATGTCGAAAGAGCGTTCGACAGAGTGTGTAGAGACGGTCTCATCTATAAGATGATGGAAATAGGTATTAACAAGAAACTGTGCCAGTTAATAGACATTATTAGTTATATTTGCAGAAGGAGCTTCAGCGTCAAAGTTGGAGGTCAGCGGTCAGAAACCAGAAGCACTGAGGCACTACCGCAACCCAGGTCGCACAACTGACCAATTAGACGTCCATATTAAGTCATTTTTGGTCAGTACGTCAATTGACTTAGAAAAGTCGTCTGAAAGACGTCAATACTTGGACGTGTATTAGTCAGATATATATGGACGTCCATGGACGTCACTAAAATAAGCTTTATTTCAGACGTCCTTATGTTCACTAAATAACGTCTCGTCTTATTTGGAGAAAATTTTTATATAACTTTAAATGTCTATAATAACTTTAAATTTTTAGTAATTTATTTTTCAATTGCCTGTCTGTCAGCATTGCATAAAGATGAATCCTGCTCCCAACACTCCCCATCAGTCTTTATCTATGACTGGTATTCTGAACTTGTCCTTTGTACTTGTCTTGTTTCATGTGATTTGTTAATGGGCTGTTAGTTCATTATTATACGAAATTTTTCACACAAAGGTAAGTACCACTTACTTATACATTGTATTTATAGTTGTACCTAGCTTTTCTATTGTGGTCTGAGATAAATAGTGGAACGGTTAACCTACGCGGACCTAAAACCGACGTTTAAATGACGTCAATAAGCAGACGTCTAGCCGACGTCATTAAACACACGTCTGGCAGATGTGTCATGTAGCGGTCATTTGGACGTCCAAATGACCAGCTATCTGACGTCTTCTGGCCGAATCTCATGTCGTTGTTTAGACGTCCATAAGACGTAGTGTGCTACCTGGGAAGGAGCAGTGCTCTCCCCCTGCAATACAACATATACACAAACGACATCCCAAGACCTGCCAATACGACCCTGGCACTCTTTGCAGATGATACGGCCCTTCTGACATCCTCATGGCGAAGGACTGCATCAGGCAACAGCTCCAAATATTTGGGTGTTGTTTTAGATAAGCAGCAGACCTGGAAGAAGCACAATCCTCAATCGAAGAAGCTAGATGAGTATCAGGAACAAGCTACTCCTCATCAAGACCATAATCAGGTCGACACTGGCGTATGCCTCCACTTCGTGGGGATATGCGGCCGAGTGTCACTTGAATAGACTTCAGGCCACAGAAAACAAACTTCTGCGGATGGCCATAGATACACCCTGGTTTGTTAGAAACTCCCAAATCTACAGGGACCTGGAGTGGGAGCCATTAAGAGAGTTTCTCACAAGGAAAGCGACAGAAGACTTCGAGAAAGTTGGAAGGCACTCCAACGAAGAGCTACGAAATCTGGTAAATTACACGCCTGAAGATCTGGGAGCCAGGAAAAATCCAGGCTCCAAATAGCCGACTAGGGCAACAGGCAGCAAACGGCGTAAGCTGTAAGTGTGGTTATGTAGTGTTAGTAGTAATTAGCATGCATGTAGAAGTAACGTGTAAATTAATAAGATGCCCATGCTAGCAAGCAGCTGAAGATAATGCGATGCTATGGCATACGGATGCCGGAGCTGACAAATTCTTAGAGATGACTACAAGTTTTAAAGGATAACTCCCGAAAACTCGTAATACAAAAAAGGGGTTTTTTTAGTTTTAGATTTTTATTCCTCCAGCAGCCGGGAAACAAAAAAAAATAGAATGTTTATATCAAATATGCCTAGAATTTTGCGAATATCTCGATAATGCAATAAAAAGAACGGCATTCCATTTAAAAAATGGTAAGTTTGGTTTGTCACTTGAATTTGAGACACCCTGTATCAATTGTTACTATCTTAAAATAAACTATAATAATATAATATAATATCTACAACTTATGTATTTATCATTCTTCTCTAATTTTGAAATTCGATGTTAAAACGGGGGGCCAAATTTTAATCAATAACCCTGTACATAGGTAAAAAGTAATATCACATACATGTAAGATGTTCAAAACGTTCACGACTTCAGGTGATCACTGCTGAAAACATTCCGAATGAATCCCATAGATGGACGCTGCTTTGCAACATTTGAAAACGTTTAAAAATAGGTGAGAAATAAGAGGTTATGTTATTTGTTTACCTTTATCATGGTATTTTATTCGTTATTAGGTTTTGCTTTTCAGTTCGTTAGTTTTATTCAATTATTATACTTTCAAGCTGTATCAGATCTAAATATAACAATAGATGGATCTATGCAGCAATATCCTGTATAAGTTAGCAGAGTTACAACACGTCTTAGAATGTTCAATATGTAACAAAAAATGTAACAGTCCCGTACGAATTAAGACCTGTGGGCACTATTTCTGCACTAAATGCTTACAAGCTGCGAAAACACCCAGTACCTGTCCCAAATGTGGAGAATTATACGCACCCACTGAGTTAGATTTCAACAATTTGGCTAAAGAATGCGATCACGAACTCCTTGAGTTACAAGAGCTGTTGCAAAATGCACAACAAGTAGCCAAAAACAGAGACAACTCTTCGAAGATCAATTTAGTGCAAGAGGAGGATACTTCCCTGGGCATTTCTTCAGAAGCAAATACAATTTTGTATATGGGAAAACAATATCGTGTACAGTTTTTAAAATCACAATGTAAGAAGAATGCTAAAGGTGAAACTCCTTTGCATTTAGCTTGCAGAAGAAATAAGCTGAATGAAATTCGATCACTCATTAATTCCCCAGTGGATATAAATGCCAAAGACTATGCAGGATGGGCCCCACTGGTCAGTATACTTGCATTAGTAATCAATTTCGAATGTTTTGTTTCAACTTTCAGCATGAAGCTATTGAGAGTAAAGCAACAGAAATTGTACAATACCTTCTGGAAAACAATTGTCTTCTCGATATTCCGGGACCAGATTATCTAACCCCTTTGCATAAAGCTGTTATTCTGAACAACGCTGATATAGTTAGCATTCTATTAAAGCATGGAGCCGACGTTCATGGGTTTGATTATCGTGGTTTAAAACCTGAAGACTACTGTGAGAATAGCAAAAGTTTCAACGAAATGTTTAAGTCGCCCGAAGAAATCTACCCCAAGGTTTTCAATGTGTTTTTGCCGGGGAAAGTCTCCTTGTATTGCCACAGCATTGATGAAGCTATTAAAGCGAAGTTAGAGGGATGCAAACACATTAATGTAAGTGTTAAAATCAAATTCCGAGCTCCGCCAATGATTATTATACTTAAGAATTTTTTGTACCTACTCACCAAGCTGCCAATGTAGGAAACATTTCTTTTGGGCCGTTTAAAGTGGTTAAAAATCCATTCTGGACCTTTCAAAATGTTCTTTAATACTATTAGATGAGCAGTATTAAAATTTGATTAAATACCAAGAAAGCACAAATCATTCAAAAACGAAACAAAATAATCTATACTTATATGCTGCTATCTGATACGTACGTTAAACGGATCTAATTAAACAGTACGTAATTTAATGTTTTCAGTTTCCTTTAAAATTTTTCTTTGTTTTTTAAATTTCAATATTATAAATTAACGAAAAATATACATATTTCCATTTTACATCGGACCTTTGGAAAATGTAAAATGGAAAAAAATTGTTTAACATCGTTTAACAAGTCCTAGAATGCGTTTCCGTCTATATTAAGAATAAATAAAAGTATTGATTTGCAGGATTTTGGACGATTTTTTCTATCATTTTCCGATATCGAAGTTCGTTGCTAACATACATATGTATAAAGTAATACTTAATAACCTTTCTATAAGGAGATCAACGTCGCATATGGATTTATCTTTTTCCAGGTAGTAAACAAGGTGGATACTAAAAAAGTCCTTACACATTTTGTGATTAAAAAGTCTCATAAGCTGTCCTTGAAAATCATGCAAGCCATGCTGGAAGGTTTACAATTTTTGAATCAGGAAGACGTTGATGACTACATTAAAGGACAATATTTTATAAATATCCCACAACATACATTTTTCACCAATAAGGAGTTGAATGATGGTGTTCAAAAAGCTATGATGAGTGCCATTCTGAAATTGCCCAAATTGTTTGATGGCGTAAATTTTCACATTGAGGACCACAACAAGCGTGTAAATGTGTATAATCTTGAGGTAACACTAATTATTCAGAAAATTATATGGATAATAAAACGAATCAATGTCAAACGATGGAAAAAATGGTTTTCAATGACAATTATTATCAATTGAAAATAAGTAAATTTCAAGAAGTATATGCATGAATCAAATTAATTAATTCTGTAAAGTACATATATGCTGATTTTTATATATGTCTACAGGTTGCTCCTAGATAAATTTCTCAGAAAAGTGTACATTTCTCATAAAAAAAAAACGGTTTTCAACTATTTTCTCTGCTTGCTTTCTGACTTCCTTTGAACAAGACGACACCTACTTTGGCACCCTACTAGAATTATTTCAACGTCTAGCACGGTGTATATTTTAAGGTATTCTACGTTTTAAACATTCCACATACAGCTTTTAAAATCACGTCTCTAAACCATTAAAACGTATTTGCATTTTAAAAAGTCCTATCTGTTGAAAATTTTAATGGACCTACATGATTCTAGATAGAAAAATTAAATCAACATATGCTACTTATATTGACGTATTTATTGCATTGTAGCTAGATAAAGAACATATTATCAGACTGATCAAAGCTGGTGGAGGAAATGTATTGCACAGGCCACCTACCGCTAGTACTTGTGAAGTAGTGCACCCCTTTTTCTCAATATTAGGATCTAGTACTTTCCAGTGCTGCAATTTCATTATATATGAAGAAAAACATGCTCCAGATTTGATGTACAACATGATGGAATTAAAACATAGGAGTTCTAAATGGTTGATTGACTGTGTTATCAATTATCGAATTGAAAATTAAAACATTTCTAAATTAAAAGTTCTTATTTCATACAGTAATTCTAAGAAACAATGTATTACATGGTTCTTTTCCTTATTGCATTGCAATCAACATTAACGATTCATAAACGTAGGATAACTATTTTAGGACAAACAACACAACAAACACCATTGCCCGACATCTATAACAGGAAGACGAAGTCTAAGATTATTCGGGAATTAATTGGATATACAGAAATGTGTAATAAAAAAAATGTAAAACGAGGAATTCTAGGGAGCACTATCGCGGATGTCTAGCCAATAAAATAAATCACATTTCTACTATAATTTATCAGCAGCCAGCAATGATGTTTTAATAAATTTAAATACATTTTGACTTTCCTTTCTACACATCTCTAATGCTATTTTATACTGTTCAATGCTAAAACAGCCTTCAGTATGCGACGCAATTATCCCTCCAGTTGTATTATTGAAAACAAACACCAACATAGCTTTAACAGTGTCCTCATTAATAGAGGGAATGCAACTGAGTTCCCCATTATTTGACAGGAAACAAGATACTGCACCAAAAACAAACTTCATGTCTATTCCCGAATCAAGACATGCTAATGATACTGCGTTTATGGCACACGATATTAACTGAAACAAATAAAACATGTGAAAAGCAACAATAAGTTTAAAGCAAATGTAAGGAGTTTCTGTTGCTTAATTCGAAAGATACTGGGTTTATTACTAAGACATGTTAAAGCTTCAAGATGCATTTCAACGTTACTTAAACAATATATTATAGTAACCGCGACGAAAACTCCCGCTACTAACATGCAGATATTTGTTGATAAACTTCAACGTTGCAGCGTATTTGTAGTTAATTTTTAAATTGTGATCTGGGAAACTTAAAATGTATAATAATACCGACCATGCATTTTCTTTGTTTTCCATGGGGAGACGCAAAATCGGTAAAATCATCGATCTAATAGATGATATTGGCACAAAAATCAAATAATCTTTTTCCGTTTTTACCGCAAGTAATTACGATTATCTTGAAAAACCGACCAGAAGTTTACAAAAAATTATTTGAAAAATTCGCCGCCTTCATCGCTCGGGAGATTTTTAAAGTTCCTTAAAATACCAGTTTAAACCAAGTTTCTATTAAGCTACATTTTCTTACTATTTTATATTTCTATTATTTTATTATCATATTATCATTTATTTGGAAAACTCTTGGAAACTAGGGTTTCTTCACTTTTAGGTCAATTTTTCTAAACAACACTGTCTCTAAACAGAAAAACCGCATTTTTCCTAACGTTTTACTACAGTAAAATTATACATTATTATATAATCATACAGTATTTTACATACTTAAATACATAACATAAATTTTACATACTGTATGATGGCAAACTAAATATTTAATGCAAAAAAGCTAAGAGATCGATTTTACAAAAAAATCGTCCACTTTGACGCTGGGAAAATCTAGATTACTTTTTTTAGTTTGAACAAAGTAATAAAACGTTGATGACCTTTTCTTAGATGTAAAAATTCCAGTTTCGAGTCTCCTAAAGCTTTAATAAATGACTTAACTTAAAACTCATTAACCGATAAGTTATAACTCGTTAACTCAGAGAGCGGTTACTACTCAATAGCGCAACTCAACCCAGGCCTACTTTATTTCCTATTCAAAACCACTCTGATATTAGTAAACAAACAAAAAAATATATTATATATGTGTATATTTGCACTCTTGCAGGAAATTAGAAACCCCAATTTTTCTTCATTTAAGTAAATTTTTATACCTTATAATTCGGAAATTTCAAACACATACTTATAGACCGAATTAAGATCGCATTGTGCCGACTTATATGGAAAATATAGCAACTCTTACCTGTCCGCGGTTTTGCATTTCTTGTACATTCACTAACACGGCGGTTCTCGGGTATAAAGAGATCGCAACTGCAATTTCACAGATATTTCTAATGACCGATTCCCGTAATCTATCCTGTACACCTTAAAACATTGATATAAAAATTACTGTTTTTTGCTGGCTAGCAAGATTTACCTGGCACTCCAGCTTTAGGTCGATAATAGCAATCCACAGATGCCTTATCGATTACTATTTTATTAAAGGTGGCTTCTACAGGTCCATAAATGGATGCCATAATCACTGACTCCCCTGAAACCAAGCAACCTGTATTTTTTTCATAGTTAGATTAAAACGAAAAATTTTGCAATGGAGTATAACAAACCAGCATACGTGTACTTCATAGATTTGACAAAAGCGTTCGACAGGATAAAGCTGGAGGACGTTAGGAACGTGCTGGACCGCAGGGGAATACCCCAAGCATCAAGAAGACGGTTAGAATGATCAACACAAACACCACAACAAATTAACAACAGGGATACGACAGGGAGACAGTCACAACACTGTTGTTCAACATTAAAATGGACAAAATAATAGAGCAAGTGCGCAAGGTAGACCAGGGGGGGATACAAGATGGGAAACCATCAAATTAAGATAATATGTTACGCAGACGACGCAACGCTATTTGCGGACACGGAAGACGGACTGGCATTTAAGAAAGAGGTCGAAAAAGCTAATATTGAAATATCAACCACCAAATCCAAAAGCATGGTTTTCGCCCGTGAACTACGCAGATACAAACTGGTACTGAACTACAAAAGAATAGACCAGATTTTTTAATTCAACTAACTGGGAATATCAATATCACCATATGGTGAACTTAAGAATGCCGTACGGAACCAGGTAAACAAGACAGCCAGGATAGCAAAGGCTACAGTGCCTTTATATATTCACTGCAGGAGCCTTACGAACATGCATATATTTGAGAGAGAAAAACACGAACCGTCAGCACGGCCAAAACACCAGCTGAGACAGCGGAGACAAAAAAAGGCACGAACCAATAAAATGAGAATACTAAGAATGATCACACGGAACACACTATGGGATCAAAGGAGTAAGGAAATTAGATAAAAATGCAAGACAGAGGACATGGTTAGATGGGCACTCTCTAGGAGACGCTTCTGGAACGAGCACATATCCAGGATAGAAAACCAGACTGGCAAAAATCGCCAGAAATGGAAAACCAGCATCCGGCAGACCACCAGGACGGCCTGCCAAGAGGTGGAAGGACACCTGGTCGTCAGTATCCCAGGAGGGACAAATGAATGGGTAAAACCAGCCTTAAGGCTTCCGCAAAGAAGGAGAAAAAGCAAAATGTTGGTTTTCAGCATTTCAAAGCTGCAAAGATTTTGTACTTGTGTTTTTCTTAACTTTGAAAAAATACCTGTTTCAACCCCTCCAAGTAGAAGGTTTCTCAAGGCAGTGTTTGGATTCTAGCTTTGCTGAGTTCAGAGGAAGCAGAAAGTTATTACAGTTAGAGATATAGAATTAAGTATCAGAACTCAATATATATGTTATTAAAGATTTCATTACCTGAATATATTAATAAATAATTGGAGTTTATGATTTGCTAAGTAAATAATGGTTATGAGAAAATAACTTCACTCCAAATCTCACTCCCGCGCAAAACTAATTTGTTTATAATTATTTTTTCTATTGTTAAATCAAGTTTTTCTATATTGTTTTCAACTGTATTATCTCAATTGACCACCTAACACACTGCGGGTAGCTTAAACTAATTTAGTAGTATAAACTTCCTCCTACATATGCATGAATGTTTCTTGATATTTAAAGATTGCAATGATGCCCTAGAACCGGAAATAAGAATAAAATTAATGAATATCTCTATCACAACGATTTTTTAGACATTATATGCATGTATTTGGGTCAGTTTTGGTTACTTCCAGTAAAATTTAATATGTTTTATTAGTCTGTTAATTTCCTGTTTTTTTTTTAATAATGTCCAGCAGGTCTTCATCAAAACGGAAAAGTTAGAAATGCGTTTGCGAGATGTTATAAAAGTATTGATTTTTGCCAGTGCAGCATCAAGATGATCTTATGTGAAAATTATAAGCTTTAATGAGCGAAAAGTGATCGAAAACCACATTTTCCACGAAATACCACAAGCGAAGGTTGTAGAAAGTAAAGGGATTATCTACAGGGTAAGCATATTTAAAGCTCCCAAGGCAACATACACTAGGTAAAAACCCGAACTCCATGTATGGAACTCACAAACTAAACTAAATTTAATTAATTTAAAGTTGCCTAAATGGCACTATCTTATAAAGTTTAGTACGTTTCGTATCAGAGTAAATAAGGAATACTTCAACTTCAAGTAGAGACCATCAACACCTCATTAAGATCAGTTCCTCAAACAAAACTATAAAATTTTGGGTAGCGGCGTTTTTATTGTCGGTAGGAGTGAGATTGGATTGAAAACACGAATCCACTCAAAGTTTGAACCTTTGTTTAAGTTTGTATTACTTACCTTCAGAAAATAAAACAGATCCATCGGACCTACTTAAGGCACCGAACTCGCACTTTAATTCAGGAGTATTACTAGAAATAAACTCTTTCGAATGGACGTCCATTGTTACAAAATACTAACAAATACTAGAACATTAATATACAATGTACAAGCAGCACGTATCAACAAAAAAGTTAGGTTATATTGTGTGTGATTGTGTTCCATCGAACTCGAACGAAATGATTGCAAATTTAAAGGTTTAAGCGCCCACTGGCGGCCAAATTATCAACTATACTTTACGAGTACGAGTAATGATAGAGAGATTTGATATATATTTTGTTTACATTTGGTATTAGGATTTACTTTTACTCGGTGTGATCTGATTCTGATTTTGATAGACGCATTCGTTTAATTCAAGTAGTGTTGTCTTAGTTAGTGGAGATATTTAAATGTCTACTTTAGTGAATATTTAAAATATTTTTTTTTGCTGTTAGAAAGGTATTTTTGAAAGTCAAAACAACTGTAATTTTTTGGACCATTTTAAAAACGCGTAAAGGTCTCAAAACATAGTAGTTCTTCTTGATATTGAAAACAGTAATATACCACTACACTGTATTTTAGCTCATACTTGTCTTCATCTATGTTTTAATTCAATTCATTCGGTGAATTGAAGTGAAGCGAAATGAATCGATAATTTCCAGGCGATATATTTATTCCCTAGATATAATTAGACACATTCATAATGAGACTGATACTGAACAATCGTGGTTAAACTATGATTTTGCAATATTATCCAAAACCTAATTAAAAAACTACTGGAAACAGTAAAACAAAATGCTCAGCAGGAAATGCAACAACGCAACCACAGATCACAGAGGTTAACTGTGAATGCAACATGCAACGTAAACTGACATATATGACAGGAACAAGGACAGGTCAGTAAATATTGAGTCATATTTTTGTTTTTATTTTAAGGTTGTAACCTACTTCAAAGTAAATAATTATTTTATGTATAATAGTGAAAGTGAATATTCCGACTCCGTCTCAGAGACTACCAGACTCATGGACGGTCATGTCGCCACCAGCAGCAGTACCACAACCCCTTTGGAGGTACGTCATGAAGTTCCCAAAAAGAGGCACAGAGGAACCCAGTCAGATAATGAAGGCGCCGCTAGTAATGTAGGGCAGGTAAATAAACGTTTAAGCTATTTTGAGGAATGCTGGTATATACCATGGTGGATATTCACTGCTCAGAATCTAATGAAATTGGCTCTTTTGAAATACCTCATACAAAAGCAATTTTACTACAAGTAAGTAATGGTGGGCCATGGGGAACCATAGATGATCGGCTGTATCTTTCTCCTGGTCTTCTTCAAATAGAAGTTCGCCCATCGGAATATTTTAAACCCCTCTAACTTCATCAGTCAAGGAGACTTTCTTCCAGTCATCCAATCTACGTGTTCTCAACCAAACTCAAGCCTAGCTTGCTTGTGGGCTTGGTTAAGAGAGGACCTTTTGCGAAATGCTTTGCGCTCAATCCCGATTCATTGAGCCTTATTCGTACAGTTTGGCACGAAATTGCAATATTCCGGGCATTTTGAATTCGATTTTTTCAAATCTAATTTCCGGTAAGAAACCGATTTCTTAAAGCTCGCAGTCGCCTAAAACGATTGTCCACTTGGTTGGCCATGCCCTTGTCGTCTTGCATGGCAACCTGTTTCCTGTAAATCGCTGAAGACATCGACCAATAGTGGTGTGATGAACACCCAACATGCGGGCGACCTCCTGTTGGGAATACTATTCTTTCAACAAGGTGACAATTTAAATTGTTTCTTGGAACATTTCAATTCCAATGCACTTTAGTTACACACACAAGATATGAAAAATCAAGAAAATTGAATCGAAAACAGTACCACTTTTGAAAACAATGCTGAGATGTTGCAAATGACACAAAACAAGTAAAAACTTGCTTTGGAATGAATAGAACAGAATCAAAAACAATTGGTAGTGTACAATGTTACTATGGTTACGTTATTTACCAACATACAGTTATCATATTTTTTTCACCATATTCTATGTGTGGTTATTATAATACGTTATTATTAAAAACCTGCTAAAATTTAAGTTAATTCAATGTAATAAATTAAAAATATCTAACCGTTTATTTTCTAACCGATTTCTAACCTTTCTAATATATATATAGATCAAAAGCCATAGCGAAGGAAGTCCTGTCCATTGCCAATACAATATTTAACAAAACCTTATTTCACAATATATCAGCAAAATATGATTACGAAAATTTGTCCGATATAAAAATTTGTAGAAGAATGAAGTAGAAAAAGAACAACCCTTCATATCTCCAAAAATGTTATTAGGTGATTCATGTTTACTGAGACTTTTTGTTTAATTTGATTCATACATCTTCAATTGTTTAACTCTCTTTTTTTAAGAGCTTCTTTCGTTATTGTTACCTTATTTAGTCATCATTATGTGTACACCATAGAATGTTTCAAAGAATCTCTCTTGCAAAGTAGCCACATTTTGCTGGTGTAAAAGTAAACTGTATCGTTAATTATTATTATTATTATTATTATTATTATAGGATAGAGCTGCAGTAGTCGAGCACCCAAGTGAAGAAGAAGAGGAACTTAAGTATGGGGCAACACATGTCATAAAATTATTTGCTCCTGTGTCCCTATGTATGGTCGTTGTAGTAGCAACAATGAGGGCTGTCAACTTTTACTCTGTAAAGGACGTGTACTTGTAAGTAATTTGTCATTAACTTAAATATCGTCGGCATGCAAGAGAATGTGACCAAGTCCATAATAGTTTTGAGTTATTAGTATTTTCATAATTTGCTTATCATCAGCAAATTTTTTATAATTATTATAGATTTCCGAATAAGTATTTGACATTGAAAATGATAGTTATAGAAAATTATAGTTTATAGAAGAAAAAAGTTAAGTCGTAATTTGACACTCGTTTTGTTGACATTGGTGTCACAATTGTGATTGGTTTTGTTGTGTAATTAACTTTTGCAAGCTTTTCAAGCAATAGAAACAGATTAAAAAGTGTGTAAGTATTGTTTTATGTTATAAATGTCATCAACAATAAATAAGCAAGTCTCAACTGTCACTCGACAACGAATAATTTGACGTTTCGCAGCGCCACCATCGGTAGTTGAACTCGCGAATTCATACACTATTGCAATTATTGACAGTCCCTGTATATATACGCGATGTGAACTGCCTTTATTGCTTTTTTAGCCCTTTATATTACGTTTTCTATTTGATTTAATGCACAAGAAATTATTAGAACTATTTATTTTGGTACCACCTTCTACTTAAGTTAGACTCCCTTGATTAACTACTAACGAAATACGGGGAACTGGAACAATACCACCACAATTATTACTACAAATTTTAAGCTTTATTTATGAAAAAGATTCACTTCAAATACTCTTTTATTAACTAATTATAATAAAAATCAAAAATATTTTTTAAAAATAAAGTCGGGAATTATTAAAATAATGATAACCGATACATCTGATGATAATCTCCATTATCATAGTTCAGTATTTATGCTAAAGAATATGAATAGAGTTAATAAAAAACTATAGGATGTGCAAAATAATTAAAAGTCTAGTGATATTTCGTGTGACACTAAGCAAAAGATTATATGTAGACGCAAATCCTGATTAGTATAACGATACCAGGTAAAATGCACTCCTTTTATATAATTTATCATATTGTATTTTTTACTTTAGCTATGCTACTTTATGCTTTTTATTTGCGTTATTACACAAATTACATTAATTCCATTACCATTCCGCTAAGTAGAGTGTTATTTTTAGTGTATATACTCCATTCCATGAAGAAAGTCCCGAAACAAGCACAAAAGTTTGGAATGCAATAGCAAATGCATTAATTTTAATGACCGTTATTGTGATAATGACAATACTCTTAATTGTATTATACAAATATCGATGTTACAAGGTCATACATGGATGGCTCATACTATCATCAACAATGTTACTATCAATTTTCAGCTACTTATATTTAGAGTAAGTATACGAAGTTAAAGTAATAAAATTTATTATATTTTAAGAGTAAAAAATAATTCGAAACAAACAAAAAATTAATTTTTTAAATATTTAAAATTTTGCAGTGTTTAGAAACTAACCGAAGTTTTTTTATGTAATGGAAAACTATGCAGGGTGATTCAAAATAAGCGTGATTCCTCTGGAGGTGTTTTAGGAGTATAGAAAAAATATCTAAAAAATTATTTGTATTAATAAATGAGATATTTGCAAAGAACTAAATCAGAAGGCTGGCAACAATGTTTTTCAAGGTAATCCTTTCAATGCCGAATCAAGCTTCTAAGTGAGCCCCTATAGCCCCTTAAAAGAAATGACGCCAATTTTGCATCACCCTGTGAATACATAAGTTTACGTAGTACAAGAGTTTAGCTCTTAATAGTGTGTTTAATTTCCAAACTGTACAATGTTTTGATAAAACGTTTATTCCCTATAAAGCAAAAAAGGTAAAAAAATAAGAGAGACTTCTTATATGAGAAGTCTAATACAAAATGATTCAAGTTTAAAACTTTTAACACAGAAAAAGTTACATTTCCGTTTTTCTCAAACTTCACAAGGAATCTTGGTGGAATCTTAATTCTTTCCAGGGAAATTCTAAGGGCATATAATATACCAATGGACTATCCTACTGCAATGTTCTTAATGTGGAACTTTGGTGTAATGGGAATGATTTGTATACACTGGCAGGGGCCACTTATCTTACAGCAAGCTTACTTAATATTTGTAGCTGCACTGATGGCATTAGTATTCATTAAGTACCTACCAGAATGGACAACTTGGGTTGTATTGGCGGTCATATCTATCTGGGGTATGGGTAAATTTGAAAAGTTGCTGGCGTAACTATTGGCAGCTTTTTTTATAGATTTAATCGCTGTCCTAACGCCTAAAGGACCACTTAGAATTCTAGTTGAGACTGCTCAAGAGCGGAACGAACAGATCTTTCCCGCACTTATTTATTCATGTAAGTTTCTAGTATTGGTGTGAATGTATTTGCAGTAATGATTTTCGCTGATAAAAATGTGTTGCTACAAAGATAACTGTTTTCACAGCTACTTACATGTACGCTTACACCGCAATGGCAACTCCTGAAAATGAAAGAACGTCCCGATCAAATAGTACGGATCATGGTTTTACACAGGAATGGGTAGACGGTCATGCAAATGCAATAAACCAGCGGCAATTGGAAGTGCATGAAGCACCAAGTGGTCAAGTGCGCACTCAAATTCATGACCAACAGCCGATTCATCACGAAGAAGAAGAAAGTATGTATGATGTTATCTGCTATTTGTTGTTGTTTTTCGGGTAGCTGTAAAAAATTACCAACACTATCTTTTTCGTTATAGGAGGGGTAAAATTGGGCTTAGGAGATTTTATATTTTACAGTGTGTTGGTAGGAAAGGCCTCGTCTTATGGAGACTGGAATACAACACTGGCATGCTTTGTCGCTATTCTGATTGTAAGTAGCATTATCTTTAACGTAACGTTTAATTTATCCAACTTTGAAATACCAACAAGTCAGGTTTTGGACAAGTCGAGTTTCAGTAAAGCCGTTATTTGAGCCTTTGGAGGTAGACATTTTTGGTATCCCGATTAACCTAATTGTTTATATTTATTTTAGGGTTTATGTTTAACACTATTGTTACTTGCAATCTTCAAAAAGGCCCTTCCAGCACTACCAATTTCGATAACGTTTGGTCTAATATTTTATTTTGCAACCAAAGAAATTGTCAGCCCGTTTGCAGATAGTCTTGCAATGGAACAAGTGTTCATTTAGACTTATGTCTAAACATTTATATGATACATTTATTTCGATTGAAATGATTTTTTTTATAATTTAATTTTTATTATAGCAATTTAATAAGCATAAAATAACAAATGTGATTCAATATAATAATAAATCGATCATATCTATTTGCTTTTATTTATAGTAAAAACTACTAAATGTGGTTTTTAGTGTTCTTGTTTGGTCCCTTAATATAACAAGCGAATTTTATATTCGAATTAGCTCCAAATTGGGATAAAAACCGGACCTATTAGCTTTATTTGCGGTAACGATTCTGGTTTGGAACTGATCGCATGCGCGTACAGGCATTCGGGGACAGAATGCATGCGCGCATTGGGTTTTCGCGGTAAAGTACTCGTTCTGAAGCTAAAGTTCTATGTTCGCGGTACAGTAGGAACTGGAACCCGTTCGTTACCGGTTCTAGCAGTTCTAGGATTAAAGAAAGGGCCAGGGGTTCTGACAAGCGCAGCACAAACAAAACATAGGGTTCACAACGGCATACTCACTAATCATATGTTTTTCCATGATTTATTTCACATTTTGTTCCTAGATATATCCATTTCTTCTAGTTTGACTTTTTTACTTTCTTCATTCTCAGATTGTGTTGCAGAATAATCTAGTAATTCCACTAGACTTTCACTTCTTTGATTCCAGGTGACATAATCTTGGTTTCGCGTATCAAAAATTTTCATGTGATTGCATTTTAAACAATGTTTAATGATTCTCTTCTTCTTTATTCGGACTTTGCATGTTATTCCAGGTAACAGAAGCGAGCGGCAACTCTTGCATATCGTGTTCTTCAAATCAGCGTCCCTAAATAAAAATATTTGATCCATCCTCTTCATAAAAGGGTTTTAACTAATTATAAGGTGCTCTAAAGTACTTTTACGGACCGATTATTTTAATTGTCATATTTACATTAATGATAAATTAACTAAAATTATAAACCAATGCAAGCCGACTGCGAACCACGCGAGTAAAGTCGAACCGTAGAATAATCTACCGTCTTAAGCATTTGTCCCATGCATCCGTTAATACTGATGCATGAGACATGCATCCGTTTATTTGACCGATCAAATATGATTTAATCTGGACTACACACACGATCGAGCTCTTTGCGCTACTTCAATCCTCCCGTAAGACTCAGCTTCCCACTTGTTATAAAACTGCCGTTAACTAAATGGATATTGAATTTTTGCTTGCAAAAAATGCATAAAACCTTAAAATATTTACCAGAAACCCCAATCATGTAAATACACTGCGAATTTGAAAAATGTGGAAGCTACTTAGTCAAGTATAAAGTAGTAACGAAATTAAACGGGTACATATTTCATTATATGATGGTTGTTCAATGATCTACAAAATTTTTATTTTTAATTGACAGAAATCCCAGGTCATTCGAATAATTTTAGGAACTATCAACTACTTGATCGCACCGCCTTTAAACAATTTTCTCTAGCAAATTATTGCTTTAGTTGGCTATAGGTCGGTCTTATAACTAATGTACTTACAATCTTAGTACAGCTTTTTTTGATATGTTCACAGCTAAATTTGCATACTGTACGGATGCTATATGAGCTGACTGATTTTCTGTCGCTAGTTGGTTGGATAACTGCAATAAAGTATTCATACAATATGTAAAAGAACATACTATGTTGGCATTTTTATCTGTGCTAAAAAGTACATCAGAGACAAACAATGTCCTCAGGACCGAAGACAATTGAACATGTGGGAATATGCATTGACAGAATCAAGCCTTTTCATTCAAGTTAACATTTCTTTACATTCACCGCTTATACAGTGAGTGCCAGAAGTAATGTCTAAATTCAGCGGACTGTTTTTTGGAAACAAGCTTCGACACGTCAATTTTTATTTGTAAATGAAATGATTTTATACTAGTCCTATGTATCCTAAACTTACTTATCCACTGACCGAGAATACGACACTTTATCCACTGCATTTTGCAGACGACCAGGTAGTGATTGCTCAGGACACGGAAGATATGTCGTTAATGGCCAGAAGACTGTTTAGAGAATACGAAGATTGGGGTTTATCGGTTAACAGAACGAAGACGCACATGTATATCATGTGTATCTGTGTATATTGCTAAAATATAAAATATATGTATAGTGCCATATCAAGAGCATAGTGCTCTATAGCTTCGAAATGTGGCAGATGAATAAAAATCTAGAACGTCATCTGATGGATCTGGAGACGGATTTCTGGCGTAGATCTGCTGGTAAGTCGAGATTGGAACGAGGAAACAGGAGATTATAAAAGTAGAAAATACGGCAATCGATGAAATAGAGAAACGGCAATTAGTATGGTACGGCCCATAGATGAAGACAACGGCCTGTCGTGCAGGGAAACCCCAGTTACAGGAGAACCAAGTTATGCTGATAAAAAAAATTGCTGCACATCGGGAACGCGCGGAACGTATAGGGAAACCCCGTTCTGCTAATAAAAAAAAACGAGTATCGTGCTGGGAAACCCTATATTATAGGGAACCCCCTTTTGCTTGGATAAATAAGCCTGCATAGACTACAGACTCGAGAGAATCAGTCTGTCCGGTTTTTTTTTCTTCAGATTATATTTGGAAGAGTCAGGTTGTGTTTCTGGAGCGCGCTTCAGAGTACTTTTGAGTGGACAGAACCCGGTTGATTCCAACTTTTTAAAGACAAAAGTAAAGTTTATTAAGCGAGTGCCAGGTGGTTCTCCAATTTAAGAGTAGGTCCCATTTGACTAAGCGATTTGGTATTTCGCGATTATTTGCGAACAATTAGTGATTGTTTGGTGAATTGTGGACTACTTTATCCCCGGTTTTCGTCCATCCTTTGCTACTTAAGGATCTAGGTATATTTCCTTAAGTGGGCCAGAAACTCGGTAATTCCCTAACCCACAACTTTCTTAAGCCGTCCATTGAACGCATTTGGTCGACTTCGATTTTAAGATTTAAATTTAAAAAAATCAACTTTAAACTTAAAAAATATTTCCTTGCTGATTCCGGTTAAATCAGCTGGCATCCCTGTGTGAAGAACAATTTGCAAACTTTTATTTAGACTTAAGTTTGGAAAAAATTTCTTTCAATTTGTGTCGTATTACAAAGATTATCAAATCTTTATATTTTGTTTTAGCCCGTTGGGTATTTGTTGGATTTCGCACATGTTTCCCGGTTTGAAATGGACTACAGTCCTTTCCCAATCCTCCGCTTTGTTTACTTATGATGATCGCAAACGCCGATAGAGGTACAAGGCTCTGAGCAACCTTTTTCTAGAAAGCGAAAGGAAAACAAAAAGTAAAAGTGTAAAACTAGAAAAGAGAAACGGCCTTAGGAAATCTTGCTTTTTCCCAAACCTTCGTTTTAGCTGTGTTTTTTCCTGATGTGAAGGATTACCCAAGTGCGGCCGAAGACAACGTTAAAAAGGGATGCTCCAAAAAATCCCCCTCGCGGAAACCTCCCTTTAAAAAACGTATACAATAAATTGACGTGGTAGATGAAAATTAATATATTTTTTTCTATGCTCGTTTAAATCAAAAATAGCACAAAAACCGAAATCAACAGAAATTGTCTTACAAAATGTTGCCTTGAGTAATTATGTGTAAGAGCGCAGTTACTTGACAATGCCAAGACTCACCTGGTACAGATAATTCATTCGTTGAAAGCTATCTTTTCCAATGCACTTTTTTGTATTGTTCATTGTCTTGCATGTGCAATAAAGAAATACGTAATACGTAAAGATTTAGATTTAGTTTAAATGTATGTCAACAAAACAAAACATGACACAATTGTAACACATAACCTAAATGGTCTTCTGTTTTTTTAGATTTCATAATGTATTAATAACCAAATAGTAGGTCCACGAGAATCTAGTCCTCAGCAACAGCTGAATAAAAAATGTTAACCTAAATCGTACCTTTCAAATTGAAAATGAAGATTTTCTATGTTTTGGCGTTGTTTTCTTTAAATACTTGTTCAGCTTGGGATTCTGATCAACTAGAGGTATTTGATGTAGTCGATGAAGTAAAGGAAAATTTCTACGATCTTCTTAACATTTCCAAAGTGAGTGTTAATCAATATGTTACCAGTGATGACGAAGAGAACCATTTCATAATACTAATCAATTTTAGGATGCCTCTAGCTCCGAAATACGATCAGGATTTAGGGCTCTTTCTCTAAAATTACATCCAGACAAAAACTTGGATACGGACACCTCGAAAGAGTTCCGAAACTTGGTGTCCGTTTACGATATTTTAAAAAATCCTACCAAGCGAAAATATTATGATGAAGTACTCGTTAATGGCTTGCCCAATTGGAGATCCGCAGTTTATTACTACCGATATGTGCGGAAAATGGGCATGGCTGAAGCTTGTCTCATACTATTTATTATCATTACTGTTGGACAGTATATTGTTAATTGGGCTGCATACTTTGAAAGGAAATTCACTATAGTAAGTACAAAACAACATCAGAGCTATTTTCCGCCAATAACTAAGAAAACAGCATCAAAAGTGGTTGGCAAAAAGAAAGTGAACTATTCGTTCCTCTCAACCAGAAAAAGCAATTTATCATTTTTATTTATTTATTAGAAACATCATAAAAGCTCTTCAAACGACAAATGAAAGATATACTATATAAAAATATACAAAGTACTACTATATAAAGCCCATATAATACTGATTTTTACGAAGCAAATTCCAAATATTCTTCAATAGAGCTTCAAAATACACAATAAATGTGTGTATCAGTTTTACCTCATAAACATTTATATTTCGTTGCAAGTTATTAAATTACATACAGGATCTTGACTTGCTTCTATAATTTTCTAGAAGCCATCCTTCTCGTGTTCGTGGTTTAAAATGTACTTGGCTTCCATTGCAGACGAAGTTGAGAATATTTCTCGCATTTGCCAGATATTTATTTTGCTTGTACTACTTGGCAACTCTTGGCAACCTGTTTCGGAATGTAATAAAGATTTGGTTTTCGCGCGTACATATTCGACGTGGTGAGGTGTTTATAAAGTAAACTAAGTTGGCGGTTTTAACTTCAAATTAAGAATATGTCCCTCCTTATTCTAGATTTTGATAAATTTTAGAGTTCATTTTAAAAATGTTTTGTTTAAAGATAAATTATATGTATTCTCTACATTGAAAAAATTGTAGACAATTAATATTTCTAAGACATTTTTAATAAAGTACGAAACGTTGGTGTAAATTTTTTAAAAGGGTTACTGGGATTTGCTTGGATAGTACGTAAAACCATTACCAAACTTTGTTCTCTTCACAAATTCGGAAATCGACTAAATCGGTTAAAACTTCGATATTGCAAGTCGCGCAGAACTACTGTGTTGCTTATTACAAGCAAGTAATGGACATTTTTTAAGTTGCATTCTTCGAAATGTATAGCAATCATCAAGCACTTTAATCACATTTTCATTTACAAGCGAAGTTTTTGAGTCCGTCGAATAATTTTAATTTTATAATGCAAAATAAAACACTATTTCTTTCTTCATGCAAATACAATTTAATTATTGGTTGTTGGCAAACATCTCGGCGTTATCGTGTATTAGTGATCAGTTTTTATCATGGTCGTCAAAAATTAAAATTATAGCAATGTCAGGGATGTATAAATCACATTATCATCATCATCATCATCATCATGCAACAGTTATTCGATCCATTCTTGGATATATGCCTCCTCAAGTTGTTTCCACATTATCAGCGTATTGTGACCATAGTTTTCCTGCTGTTTTGTCTGTCATTTTTTCATCTGGCCCTTGGTCAGCCTCTATTTCTTTTACCGTGTCGTGGCCTCCATGCAGTCACATTTTTTGTCTTTTGCCCTTGGCCTCTTTTTCAAGCCGTCTATGCGTCTTGCTACGTCATTCACCTTTGTTGCTCTGTCTTTGCAACCATTTCTTTCAAGAAATGTATAGGTTTTTAGCCATGTTTAAAACAAACCAAAAATATATTAATGTTTGCAACAGACCTCAATAGCGAACATTATTTGAACATACTTACGTCAATTGTGCGTGCAGTAAAGTGATTAAATTAGAGCGCATAAATAAATTTGTATTTTACACGTCATTTTCCATTGCCCGTTTGGGTCTCTGCGCTTTAAAATAAATACAAATTAACTATTTTTGAAAAAATATGCCTGATTTCTTCCTTCTTTGACCCACATGAGCGACATTTAAATATGATTTAAATTGCAGCAAGAAATTTTAAAGAAAAAGAAAACCGGAAGAAAAGCGAAAAATTATGATGAAGATATTGAAATAGACATACCAAAGCCCTCATTTCTAGATACGCTACCATTTCAACTTCCGAAGTTAATATGGTTTATTATTATATCCATACCATCTGGTTTAGGTAATATTCGGAAATACAATACACATTCTGTTATTGCAACTGCTGTGTATAATAAAACGTGATTTATGTTTTCCTAGGTTTTATTAAAACAGCAGTGACTCAACATATTGAAGAAGCTACCAAACCAGCTCCTGAGCCAGTGGTAGAACCTGTTAAAGTAAAAACGGTCAGAAAACGGAACAAATTTATTGTTCCCGAAGGGCCAAACTTTGAAATTGCATCTTCAAGTAAATGCTCTTACTTTAATATTTCTAAATATATTCAATCGGGATTAATTATTGTATTTTAGAAGTCAGCGAAGAAAAGTCAACACATTCAACTGTACCTCCACCCATAACAGGTGGTTTGTGGACTGATGATGACCTAGATGAATTAATAAGATTAGTAAAGAAGTTTCCACAAGGATCATCAAAAAGGTACGTCCAGCATAATATTCAATTTCACTATATGCATACGTATTAAGCATTTGATGGATGACAATTTGGTATCGCCAGATGGGAGAATATTGCTGAAGCATTAAGAAGGTCGATCCCAGAAGTGACATTCATGGCAAATAAAATGAAAGAAAATGGATATAGATTGCCATCGGAGAAGGAAGAAGACGTTATACCGTTGAAAGTAAAGCAAAAAACGAAAAAAGATGTGGACGTAGGAGATAATATAAAGAAATGGAGCCAGGTGCAACAAAAGGCTCTGGAAGAAGCCCTACCCAAATATCCAAAAGGCGTATTGGATCGATGGGATAAAATAGCAGATCATGTTCCGGGCAAAACAAAAGTCAGTAGAAGTAGAGAATATTTTATATATACCTATACATTTTGCAATGTTTTTGTATGTTACAGGAGGAGTGCATGATGCGATTTAAGTTTGTAGCCGAACTACTAAAAAAACAAAAAGAATCCAATGAAGCTAACACAGGAGTAAGTGGTACTGAAAATACAGTTTTATAATATATTCAATTATTATTTAAACATTGGTTTTATTAATTCAAACGAATTGCGATTATGCAATAGCAAAACGCATAAACTCACCAAAATATATTAATAAATAAGTATAATTTAAAAACTTACCAAATTACTTATAATATTTCGTCCAGCAGGAGTAGTAGATATATTACCTACCTCATAAACGACAGTTTTGAGTTACATATTCAAGTGAAATGTCTCAAGCGTTCCAATTCACATTCCATGTGTTAATGCTATTAAAACGGCATCTCTTTATATAATGTTTATTTATAAATTACAAGTAACTCAATCACAAAAATAAACAAATTGCATTGTGTAATATATTCCAACTTCTCCGATCCACATACGGCATCCCCAAATACAAATGATGCGCACAATTTCCCAACTATGAGTATACCTTTAACATTAACGAACGAGAACCCTAGTACTTATAGCACACTAAAGCAGTATTACTTAAATAGTATATGTCCTATAAAGTACGGTTGATTAAAAATTTATTCGTTTGTTATAAGCATACTCTTGATATGAATTTCAACAATGACTACAAACTATATCACATATAGAGAGTATTCTTATCGTAAGTTTACAAATATGTAAATACAAAGCTTTACTTATGATCATCTGCAACGCATTGAATTGCTAGAGCTAAGTAGTCAATTACAAAAAGTAGTATTGTACTGTTACGCTCTAAATATCGCTTCACACGTAATGCGACTGTAATATGCGTACAAGAGTAATAACAGGTAAATCTCTTTGTGTAGTAAACAATTTCCCTACTTTGAGCTTTAACACAATGTATTGTCAACGTCGAGACTATTCATATAGTCCATTTTTGACTAGAAGCAAAATTGAATGCGCGATATCAACAAGCAAAGCAATAAATAATACAAAATCTTTCTTATATCCTAAGTTTACAGTCGAACGAAGCGTAAGACAAGTTATTGAAAATAATCTTACGCCAAATCGAATTTAGTTAGTTGGTTAAAAATATATCGGATAATACTGAAAATATTTTGTATCTAGAATTGTTTTTGGATAATTTTATTTCGTCGACTATTCTGAAAACTGGTCGTTTTTCTCGCATTTCTGAGATTTTGAACTCAATCATAATTTGTTGATGAGACTTTTATAAAATAAGTTGATATGATATCGACTAAAGCGCCCGAATACATTTTTTAACTAGGATATAATGCAACCACCAATTGATAAATAAAATCAAATATTTTAACAGAAAAAACCAACGTTGTTTACATTTTACAGTCGGTTGGATAATTTTACCTTTTTGCTAGCTTTGTCAAATTATAAAAAAATATATTGAAAGTATGACTTTTATATGATCCTAACAGCATTAAAATAGCAACATGTTCTGGAGGATGCAATTCGATATATAGCTGCAGCGTTAAATCTACAACGAAAAAACATTTCACAGAACTAAGTCGCATGGAATTGAACCTTTGTTATAAATATAAGCTAATAGTTTCTATATATTTTCCTAGCTGATCAAAAAGACTCACTAATTTGTTTTTTCCGACAACTATAAAATTACAGCATTCGAATGTTGTTTTTCCTTGCTTAAAACGCGGTTTTTTTAATGCTGCAGCTTACGAGTACGTTTGATGTTATAAAAGTTTACCGTAGCAGACACCTTATTAAGTAAATTTGTACACAAGAGAGAAAGTATGTATATGAGCTATTATAAAAAAAATATAATTTGTCTCATCAACAGGCATAAAATATCTGCTTCTGATATAAAAATTATTCATCAATTTTGAGGATATTTATTTTCCGAAAATATGTGTTATTGCTTTCAGGATTTTCAACGTATGTAAACAGTCCGCGCCACTATTACTCGCACCAACAGATTTGAACAATTTTTTGTTAATAGTCAAAATTTTCATTAGCAAGCCATATGTGTTATTGGATACAATATTTTATTAGTATTCATCCAACAACTCGTTTAATTCACTCGTACTTCACAACGGAAACATTTTTTAGAAGCGACTATTCGCGAGTTCAACTACCGATGGTGGCGCTGCGAAACGTCAAATTACTCATTCTAGAGTGGCAGTTGATACTTCTCAGACTTGTTTATTTATTGGAGTTGATAACATTGATAACATAAAACTACTTACACACTTTTCTATCTATTTCTATTTCTTTAAAAGCTTGCGAAAGTTGACTGGAACAAGACAAATTACAATCAGATGTAATCACAAATGTGACACCAATGTCAACAAAACAAGTGTCAAATTACTACTTAATTTGTAGTTATAAGTTTAACCACCAGGGGGCGTCTGGACTTTTGAATTCGCGAATTAATGCGACACTTGCACACTTGATTACTCTCATTGACTTTGGAATCTTAGGTGGCTAGGTACGAAGAAGACACAAAATCATGCCACTTGTCAACAGATTGACAGTTGTCTAGTAGTAATTTGAGCATATTTGAGTGTTCTAAAAGTGATTGGTATTGATATGGAACGCGGTAATATTTGCTTTACAAAAAAAAATAAATTGTAGAATACAAACATGTTAAATTAATATTGTTAAAATCCTTAATATAGTGTTTGTGTAGCTTACTAATGAAAATTTTTAGTATTAATAAACGTGCGAGTAATCGTGTCGCGCACTGTATATTTATAATATCTATTATGTATCACCTACCCTATAATATCAGATTATAGGGTACCAGACACTGAAAATTAAAAATAAAACGCCGAAGTTATTGAGCATTAATTCATAACAAATGAACTTTGATTAATTTTCTCAATTTTCCTTGCCTAAAATGGTAGTTATGTGATTAAAAAAAAACATGAAAACATTACATCTGGGACGAGTTAATATTATTTTCAATAACCTTATAGTCTCTGTTTTAATGTCACATCTAACATTATATAATATTAACATCTATGAGACAATGTTGTATTGCAATTTAATTCCAATAGAACGAGAAACATATTCGCTTCTTAACTGTATGTGATGTATTTTATTGTCTAAAAGCGCTTGCAACAATCCAAAAAGCCATACAACATCGAGCTTTACAAGAGTAACTAACGGCACTTTCTAATATAACTAACTAATTGCAATGAATTATTTATTGACTTGTGAACAGTCTTATATGAGATCTTACACTATGCGTGTAAAAAAATGTCATCACGCATGCTGATACAACATTGTCCATTTTGACATTCATTAATTATTTACAGTATACAATATCACTTCAAATAGCCAGTGCATAATAGCCAAATTTACCATAAGCTGGCAATCATTACGAAGACCTCAGTTCATTTCGGTGTTGGCTAAAGGAACGCCCACAAGAGAAACAGTTAAGTTTTTTACGTGGGTTTGCCAAGTGGAACTTAACTGGAAGAACTTGACCCCATTGAACTCTACTCCATCAATGTATACTAAACAAAAATAAATTCAATTGAAACGCTAGTGAGTTGATATAGATTATTATTAATTTATAGGTACAGATCACGCGCCGCCAAGTGGATCTATCGATAAACTCTTGTTTTATTCCATCTTTTAGAATAGAACTTGTTTTATTTTTGTATCTTGTATCTTGGTTTCCCTTTTTGCCTCTTTTCTAACGCCTGCCAAAGGTAATTGTTTAAATATTTTCGCCTTCAAGTTTGCAAAACTTTGCTGACTTACATTGAATATTTCAAAATAATGACGATTTTTGGGTGTGTTTCTAACATTAGCATGAGCGGATTTAATAAATTGGGCGAATTAAAAAAACATTATATACACTTTTGAATAATTAACAAATAATTATCTCTTCATCATCTGTCCCAATATTTTTTAAATCCTAATAATACCACTTACCTCGCATTGGAGCTGTATGGGAGGCGCGAGCAGAACATATCAGTCTCGAGACTCCCTCCACATTTTGGCTCCGTGATTCAGTGTCTTTGTCCTTTTCCTTTTTCTTACCCAGCCTCATAACTAGAAAAGGCATATTAGATTGAACTTAATGATTTTTGAACAAACTATCAGGTTATCTGTATTTCAAACTGTTTTGTCTTAGGGATTAGGGCCTTAGATTTATTTGGAAATTCTATATCGAATTTTTATATAATCTATCTATCTATCTTAGCCTCAAAGGCAAAATACTGCAGAGCTTGAAGTGATGCATATATTTGTTTTTTGTCTAACTTTTTTTTGTGATTGTTATCCTATGTCTACTTAATTCCAATCAATAATTCTTAGGTTGGAACCAAGATACTTTACTTTACTAGGAGTCATTGCATGTCCGATAACCCCTTTGTTTGCAAAATTTGTAATTGCTATATCAACTTTAATTTCCCAAAGTTTGATTTGATCGATTAAGAAAGTTGTTGACTATACTAGCAATACTCACTTTTTTGCTTTTTCTCCTTGTTAGCCATTTGCATATTCACACAAAGTCCAGATGTACTATTTGGAGAAGCCTGCAGTCCTCTAAAAACGCCTTTAACGGAGGTCTTCCCGTCTTGTTTAGCTTTGTCCTTTTCTTTTTCAGTCTAAAATCGATAATAGTCTTACTACCAAACACTGTGCATTTTACGATGATTGGCACTATAGTCAACTCTTTTTGTTGGCTGTTTCGCCTCAAAACTATTTGTATTAAAAAACGACAAAACTGTCTTTTTCTAAGACAAATCTTCTGCCTTCCTAAAAAAATTTCCTTACGTCGTTTATTAGAGATTGATAGTATGGATGAACTCTTAGTTCACATTAAAGAACGAATTCATTATCAAAAGATCCCCTCAGCCACTAGACGACCTACTACACACAGACTCAAACTGTAAGAGAAGCTTACGATACTCTTTTACAAAAAACAAACTTCAGCCTATTAAGTAAGAGTCCCAATTGAACAATAAATACTTCCTTATAGGAAAAAAAAGTCATGACTTGGCTTGAAAGTGGCTTGGAATCTGCTATTTAAGCAGCCTTTCAGCAACATATCAAGCAATTGAAGTTTTATAAAAAGTCAGCAAAAGAATCATATGATTTTCGTCGATTTACTGCTGCGCGTAAAAAAATCATTCGTAATTCATAGCACGATTCGCATCTGGATCGGTCATTTAAGTACACATTACCCATACAAATTTACATACTACAAAACTTAAAATTTTCAGGAAATCGGGCGAAAGACTAATCGAAAAAATATTGTGAAAATGAAGTTCAAGCAAAGAAGCATTCATAAACTTCATGGCTTCAATTTGGCCTGTACCCAAAATATCAAGTTCAAATGGCCCAAAATTTCATGAAAAATGAATCAAACGACTGATTCGATTGGTAGCATTTAATTTAGAATAAAAATCTAATGTGCCCAGTCATCTAATTTGTTTATCTTTGGTTGCTTTGTTTTTGGTGATCATCCAAACGAGTTGGACCGTGAAACTTGTCTTGGAAACTATTGTCATACATATATAATATATATTAAATTTGAAATATCATCCAAAGGGCGATGGAGCAAATTATTATATAATCATGCTTGTTCTGTAGCTCAATGCCTTTGGAATGCGGCCAAAAAATCGCATGAGTTTTTGGGAAAGCTGTCAGAATATTCAGATTATTATAGGCACTGGACGAAATCGGACGCCAGCCCTGAATCGCGTCCCTATGGGAAAAATAGAATCACCCTTAAGGGAAGTGCTGTATTTTTTCGTACTTGTAAAGATACGGTTTCGGTGGTGCGATCGGCGACTGCGACTCGGTGCTGCGTTTGGCCGCAGTCGCAGGTGTTTGGGTGATGCGCCTATAGCCGCAGCAGATCAGTTTGTGGGGTACTTTTGCAAAAAACTGTTGAAAAGATGGACGACGTCGAACTCTTCACCCTTATTTTGTTAGAAAGAATTATTGTAAAAATATCACGATGCAATATTTCACAAGATAATTAAATTGTTTTACCATGTATACAACACGCTTCAACTTGTCTACATGATTTAGTTGTTCGTGCATATACTGACGCGATGGCTAGACGCACAGCATGCATACACGATGAAACTTGTTCATGAAACCAATGTCGGATGAAATATTGTGTTGCAACAATTTTAACAATATTTGATGTACATGAAGCGTGTTTCCAGGGTAAAACTTGAAATTTTGGACTCATGAAACAAACATTTCTTAAAACTTTTGTCCTGGATTTTTACCTTAATCAGTACTTTTTTTTTCATTTTTTACACCGATTTTTCGCCCGTTCTTTTTAACTGCAGTTTAGGCATCACTAACTTGCAATGCCATCTGGAATGGGGTTCAATGTTAAGCGTTATTCAAAGTGCGGCGCAATGAGACGCAATGACTATAATATAGTATTACCCATGCCTAAACTACACTTTTTAATGTCTTCTAAGGTACTTTATATCGATTATTAATTTTTTCTGTCATCAATTGCACTCTCAACTAAACGGTTCTGGTATTTTCTATAGGGATTGCACATATTTACAAATTTTAACTTTTTTGCTCAGCTGTTCAACTTTAAATGGTCACCATTTCCACAGTAGACTGTTTTGGTATATACAAGGTGTCCAAGATAAGAATGCATTGCATGAGGATCTCCGAAACCGTGGGAAATACGAAGTCGGTTAAATTAGGATAAAGTTGCCCAATCAGAGAGCCACATTTTTTTGTTTTAAAAAAAGCAGTTTTCCTTTTAATATTTGAGCTACTTACAATATGTGAATCTTATTTATAATTTTGTATTGGTCTAGCGACAAGCGCCTTAAGAAGCTACAAGTGATCCTGGCCTACCAATTTAGATTTCACGCAAAAACAAATGTTTGCCAAATGATTCGTGAAGGGTAATTTCAGCGTCCAAGAACCGTTCGACTATTTCCAGTTTTTTTGCCGTCCAGCGCCCTTCAGAGTATAAGTGGTCCAGATCACTAAATGTTCACTAGGCTCAGATCACTAGGCGTTGAGTTTTTCMGGCAAAAAACGGGGTTTTAGAAAATTARAAGAGCAGCCTGATCCGGATGGTAATTTATTTTGTAGAAGTAGAAGGCAACCAGGATTGTAGTATTTCTTTCATAGTATTTATGCTGCTCGCATGCGCAGGTTCGTTGATTTTATGGACCGGATTTTCATTTCGCTTTTTGCGGATTTTATCTGGCAGTTTTTGAAAAACCGCAACGCATTCTTTTTTTCGTATGCTAGGTATTTTTTCAGGGCTTCTACAACAGACTGTTTCAATATATAAAATAAGCGTGTTCTGTTGTGAACACATCCTTGATATTCCGGAGATCGGTACAGTTCAAATTTTGGTTTATCGTTGAATATCAGTATTAAGGGCTTTTATTCCCAGTCRATATTTYCTGACAAGCATAATATACATATATGTACTTGTAAATTTATATGTTCTTGATTTGACCAATACGGTTATTAATAATGAAATAGTCACCATTTAAYGCATATTTCTTAAATCMATGAAATCACTTGAATTATCGTTTGTCCATAGACTTTCTGACTAGAGCTTCTTTGTTTTCATAGCAAGCAATAGCTTTTGTTATCACGTGAATGTAATTGACTTTCTACTCAAGTGCCTGAATTACACGGTTGCCTTGCTTAAGAATTTCCCATAAATATTCCCGGTTTGAAAGAGAAACTTTCAAAATTACATCTTTGTTACCCCCCAAATAGATGTTTCCGTAAGAAAGACTACCTTTTTAGACACCTGTATGTTTCCCAGGAAAATTATCTGAATATTTTTATCAAAATCTACAGCATCTAGCTAATCAGTACCTTGATAAAGTTTTCATTAGATTTCGGCAGTTGCCAATAGTCGATTTGCAACTCAAGTGGCTCCCATGGAGATTCTCGTATTTGTACATTGGGCGATGAAGGTGGCGTGAGAGACGGTGCTGGGGGACTGGAACAAATATCATCCATATCCACTGAAGCTGAAAGTGTGTTTTCAGCTGGACCAACTCGAACCTCCTAAATATCAAAATAATGTGTTTAAAAAAATTCTTTAATTTATACAGTTTGAGTTACATCGTTTCAAAACATTTTCAAGCTTCGAACTTAATCCGCTGATTTAAACAAAATAAAAAAATTGATTCGAAAACCATGTTTTAAAATTGAAATCAACTGCCATTATTATTGAAACTCCGAAAAAAACACTGAAAATTGTGACAACAAAAAATACTTTAGATTAAAAAAGTTTGCAATACACAAGGTACTCCGGAAACCGTTGTACAACGCTTAACTACAAGTCTCTTAACCGAAAATAAGGTGATAAAGGTGTTTTTCAGAGGTATAGAACTTCAATCTGAAATAAATCTCACTTAAACCATGGTACTGGCTTTATGGAAAAGGCAATTTGATGATATAATAACTATGATTTAGGGTATAATGCTCCGTGGCTGGCTCGAATGAAGAGCAATCTGATAATCCAATTTTCTACCACTTCCAATCTTTTTCCAGACCACAAAGCACGAAAAACAGTGAGGTGAAGTGGTAAAAGTCCATTTTCACAAAAAAATAGTTAGATAAAAATAAATACAATTTACTATAAACTTTTTCCAAAAAAAATATGTTCAATTTTTGAACAAAAAAATCAATTTTAATGAATGAATATTGAATATATTTGCTTAAAAAGTGAAAAATTAATTTATTTAGAATTTGAATTCATTCATTGCAATGGAATTATAGCGATCGGATTATCCGATAAATAGAAAACATATGAATAAAACTGCTATCGAACACCTCAAATAAATTACATTTCAAATTACCTTACTAAATATTTAAAAAAAATCTAATAATTCGATAGTCTTAATTCAATGGTTTCCATCGATCAAAAAATCGATTTGAAATAATTCACAAATTAGTGATGGGAACTATCGAATAAAGTCTTAATTCGATACTTTCCATCACTGAATTAAACATCGCTATTGAATTATTCGATAGTCGTAATTCATCCGAATTATTCGATAGTGATGGAAAATAAAGTGATTCAGTGATGGAAAGTATCGAATTATTCGATAGTTGTAATTCATTTGAGTTATTTCAAATCGATTTATTCAGCGATGGAAACCATCGAATTAAGACTTTATTCGATAGTTCCCATCACTAATTTGTAATTCAATATTTACTGCAATTATATGTTTTGTATACTTACATTTACAAATGGAATGAATAACTGACTAGTTTCGTCAAAGCAAGTCAACATAGCTTCGCCAATTGGTAGATGAGCCAGAGGCGCTGAAAGCGGGACGGACGTATACCGAATAATCCTAAAAAAATTGTTAATTTTATTTTAGAGGATGTAGAAAAATTTTAACGTTTTGTCAGTTTTAGGTTCAATATAAATTATGATTAGGTCAAATCTAATTGAATCATTCGAAAACGTTTCTGATTAATTATACGTATTGAGTGGGTCAAATGGTATTTTATGTTTTAATTGAAATAAAACCAAACCTTTAACATCAAGCCAAGAACTTTCAACAATATATTGTGTCATTAAGTTTGCAGAAATGTATATACCGACTATTGCTTAAACATCCTTTTTTCGCATTTAAATAACACTGAACCTTTGTTATGCTAATCTTTAACTTACTTTTGAGCAATTTCATCCGCTTTAGGTTCTATTTCGGCAGGAAAAAACGACATATAAACAACATCCAACATTGCCAAATGCCTGGCAATTCCACAGGCTCCCAAAGGTACAACAAAAATGCGAGTATATGATAACCATTCGGACGGTTTGCCTGATAGAATATCAACGAATGGTCGGACGAACCAACCGATTAGCATGTCTCCTCCAATAAGCACAATTTTTACTGGCGTGCTCGGCTTAGCACAATTATTGCAACTGAAATTAACAAATTTTTAAAAATCGATATTAAATGATTAATAAAATACTTAATTACTAACAGTGACAGTGGTTGAAATCATTTTTGGACATTTAAACATTTGACGATTTAGAAATAATCCCAACAAAATAAGTAATTAAAAAAAAGTCATTGTTTCTCAATTTAAACAACCGTTAGAAAATGGGAAAATATTTTAACTTAATTTTAATTTTAATAAAATTACCATAAATTAGCAGCATATTTTCCCGTTTGCTTTTTTAGCAAATATAAAACTTATTATAGTTTTCGAAAAACCATAAATGCAGGCCCCATTTAGACCACAATTAATAAATGGTATTATCAAGACCTGTAAATATTGCGTGATTTCTGTTATTTTTACACTAGCAATATTTTATGAATGTAAAAAATCAATAAATATTCAGATAAACTATTATGCATAATAATTAACTAACGACTTTTAACTGAATTTCAAAATACCCACTTTCTCTAACCTTGATGTGAATATTAAATTCGAATTTGCATTAATCAGTCCTAATCAGGACTAACTAACTATTATTTAATAATGAAAGCATACATACTACTTGTGAATTTTGGTAAAGAGTGCAGCTAATACCACTTTCACTTCGATGGCAGACATGGGTTGAAATACTTTGTACGTGGATTGAATGGAAGTCAGTCTATTTGATATGGCAGAGGCAATATTGTCTGGCCCAAATACAAGGGTAATACACTCCGGTAGAACGTTTTCTTCTGGTGGGAGGAGCCTGGAGATTTGTTCCAAAAATCCTTTTCTTACCTATAAGGGGTGGATTTTAGAAACGTTCATTTCTACCAAAATAAAAAAATTACCATAACTTCTTGGACCGGAACATCTGAACTCACACTAAGTGAATTCTTCTTCTTTGCTAGTGCAGCAGGCGTTCTGAACAGCTTAGATTTCTTTTCGCTTAACTCTTGAATTATATTAGCAAATTCGTTGTCGAACTAAAAATAATTATTGTGCAGTTTAATGGAAATCACTTAATTTCATTCAAGTTACGTGCGCAATTAACTTTAATTGAAGTAAAATAAATAAGTCTATATTTATACATTAATATGCGGTTAAATTAAAAGAATAATTTACTGGATGTTTTAAAGGCGAGTGTCCGTTTTCATTTCGTCCAAAGAATTTCGAGTAACTAAGTCAACGGCGTTTAGAAAATGTATTAAACTATCACAATCGTAAATAATATAAAAATGTTTATAATAAAATGAAACAATTTAAGAAGCTTTTTAAAACACCCATTCAAAATACTATTAATCTCATCATAACATACCATTAGTACAACAGTTTTAATATTGAATAACTGAAAAGTTTAGTGAGTGAAAAGCTTAGTTAGTATGCATCTACTTACTGCTTGCTTCTTGGCGCTGATAGCTTGGTCACGAGGTGGTGAACCAGTTTGCGGATCGCTTTGAGCTTCTGGATCCGTAAAACAAACATCTGCATTTCCATCGCTTCCAGATGCCGCCTTTTCATCACCAATCTTCGAGAAAATAATAATAGATAAGATTTCTTGAGACAAGACACGGCCAGTTAGGGAAATTTAGTGAAGTAAAAGGTATAGAACATACAAGTAGGTACTAGACTTATTAGTAAAAAAGCATGATTACTGTCTCACAATCAAACTGCTTTTACTCATTGAAAATGTGATTTAAAAATCGAATTAAAGGCATTTTCTAATGTCAACCCGCTTATTATAATATACAGTTCTAAAATATCGTACTTACTCTTTCAGTTTCAATATAGGGGATAGGTGTTGAATCTAATAAACTTTTGCTGCTGCTAAAAAATGGACGTAAGCTTGGCTTCGGAGTACTGGAAATAGACATAGTATCTTGTTCGGCCCCAGAGTCTTCATCACAACTTAACGATTCCAATTCTTGAAATAGAGCTTGAATATCACTTGGATTATCGAGATCTGCACCTCTGCCCCCTAAATGATAAAATAAATGTTGCTATAACAAAGTAACAACTAATTTTCACGCCGATATGAATACATTGGCATTATAAAGTGCAGGATTCGAAATCGCTAACTTCAGGTTGAACCCTAGTGAGAGCTAATAGGCTCGAAACTGGTCCTGGGGGTGCCTGAGGTTGGCGTATTTCGAAATCTGCACTTGCCTATTACAAAATAACAAAATATTTATAAAATTAAATATAGACGATACAGTGTCAAGTTGAGTTTAAAAGGAATATTTAATTTTTGCTTATGAAACTTGATATTACCAATAAAAACCACTCATCAGCCCTTCGCTGTAAAATAAAAAACTGAATAATAAATTAAATTATGCCGTGAGAACTCAATTTTTCTTAAAACATATTGTTCCATTATCCTGCGAATTTAGGGTAGCAAAAAAGCCTTGTAATTAGCAAAACTGTGTCTTACAAGATCAAACTTTGCAATTAGGCATATTATTATATTTCAAGCAAGCAAAAATGCAAAGGATTATCCAAAACATGGGTACATCAATTCATGATATTACGAGTTTTAAAGCAAACTAGTCCTGCAAAATCAAATGTCTTGCGCCTTAAATAATCAGTAACTATCAAATTTAAAGAGCAATATATTTTTATAGATGTTTGAATATTCCTGTCAGTTTTTTAGGTTCATCTTAAAAAGCAGTAAATGTAATAAACTAAGAAAGAAATGCATATTGCATATTTATAAATAAAACCATCGTATAGAATATGCAAAGTCTATTAAGACAGCATTAAAAAATCCGTTCTAGTTAATATTCGGCGGCATTTTTGAATTCCATATGCTGCTCGAGCAAGTATTATTAACTAGTGTATTTAGAAATAAGATAATTAAGCGCAAGATAGCAAATTAGCGGCGGGCGACACAAAATTGATCGTTTTCTCATCAACTGGTTCAAAATGCTGTCAGTCGTTAGTCTATTATTAGTGGTATAACAACTTTAAAATACATTAAAATATTATTAAAACCTCAAGTTCAACAAAAAATTTAAATTATGCGACATCAGCTGCAGTCGATTCTAAAATCACGCGAGTCTTTATCCTCCACCTCATCTTTACATCACTGATTAGTAGAAACTTTTCTACTACATTGTTGACCCTCCGATTTCTAGAAATTCAAAAAATTCAAACTCTCCGTTGTCTCAGTAGAATTTGCATATACTATACATGTATATTCGTTGTTGTAATATAACACTTTCATTCACAATTCATTAAAAATGTGCAGGAGAAAATTAAATCCCGCCTAACCCGATATAACTCTGCGTGCATTACTGTTTCTGTTTTAGAATAATAGTCAAGTAAAGAAAGATTGTAATAAAAAAAACCTAAATCGTTTTAGTTGGAATAAATTACCTTCAGAATCTGGAACGCGAAATCGTCGAAGTAAAGATACAAAACGTTGTTTCAAATTGTGTCTTGTATGGGGAAGTTTTGTACGGATTGGTTCACTGTCGGACAAGTCTCCGGCTTCTTCCTCAAGCGAAGAAATCTCATCATCTTCATCACTAAAACGAATGCGGATGTTATTAGAGACAGACATTGTAAGCGAAGAATACGAATTACGACTTTAATGATATATTGTTTTAGATAAAAGACAATCGCTTAAGAGTATTAATCTGAAGATCCCGTTGATGTAAAATCGTTCCTAACAACAACCACAAAAATCAAATAATCCAATACAAATTGAAGGGCTTGGCGCGAGCGTGAATTATCCAGTATCAAGTATAACTAGTCTTTCATGGCACATTTTATATGGGTTTATCGCACACATTTACAGGGTGTCCTGTAAACCATCAACATTCATTTCCTGATAAAAGACCAATTCCCGACAAGCCAGAAAATGAAAAATAGCATTAGTAAAAATACAAGAGTTTTCCATATGTATACTTTGCGAAAATGGATCAAATATCTTGATATTTCGTGCTATTATATTTTTTGGGTTGTAGTTTTGTCACTGGCCGTACTTGAGAAGCTTATGAAAAGATTATGAAGATATGCTTTGAATAAAAAAAGTATTTTCTCCATTCTCCAACTCCATTTCTATTATCCAACGTTCTCTTATATTCTGTGGCAAAAGATGGTCAGATATATTTATGCCCATAAGCACAAAAAGTAACGCTATTTTTCGAAGTATGAAACAGTATAATTAAAGCAAAAATACTAAATTGAAATTAAATATTTATTAAAGAAAATTAATGTAAAAAATGGCATCCATTGGTGCCTTTTGCAAGCTCGTAGCGCTTCGCGAGAGCCGTAGGTACATTTGCCCCAAATGTACCTTTGAAAGGTTGAAAAAGACTAACAATTACAAACTTCACCACAAAAGGACTGATTATTTGATTTAATAATCAAAATATGAGACTTGAAAAGAGTTTCTGTACAGTCTACCTACTTAATAGGTAGAATTTCATGGTATTTTAACTAGTATCCATCATATTAAATATTTATTAAAAAATATTTAATGGAAACATGCCATCTAATGTTCTAACTGATGATCACAAAAATTACCATCATGCTTTTTGCTAGTAGTATTTGTCGTTTTTGTAGTATTTGTTTAGTGTATGCCCACACAGGCAAAACGTGGATTGAAACAAATCCATTTGAAATTCAGAATATTATGTTTTTGGAAAAACACCAATATTTTCGAATGCATAATATGCCCTATATGAAATATAGCATTATTGAAGAAAAAAATTAATTTATTCAATTGCAAATAAAATTTGGTTTTTTTTCTTCGGATAAACAATACCAAAACCGGGGTGGGGTGTTGCTTCCATACTTCTCCTAACGATTGAAAAAAAATTAATTGACAAGAAATTGAGTTTATTAATAATTGAGAAAATTAATTGATAGTAAATTTTATATGAGCATTTTGCAGCAACCAGTCTGTGCGCAAGCGGGAAACAAATAAAAAAAAGAAACCTAATTAATGTTGCAAAATGCAATCATAATTATGTTCTCAAATTTATTTACAGCAGCTTCATTTGCGCATTTGGAGGTGTATCCTTTTATATAAATTTAAGCAAAAAGTAGCAATACAATTAGCTAGTAAAAAATCAATGTTCTGAAACTATTTCGATTGTCGCTAAATTCAGCGCGCTGCGTTTCGAATTATTGCACAACAGCAATCAAATTGAGATTTGGTAAGCGCCATCGAAGTGTAAAAAACCAATTAACAACGACCTAGTAACAAGAATATACAATAATCGTGAATTAAACATTAACGGTGAAACAAAACTAAAATTACGAACGAGTTCCTTTAGAAAATTACATTTTTGAACGTTGTGCATTCAGAATTTGCATAAAATATCTATTAAGTTTTAAAAGGTGGCCTTCCCAGTTTCCATCATAATAGGTTTTAAAGAACATTGGAAAGAAAAATTCCAATGCGGGTAAATGCAGCACTATAATTTACTGTCTCTTACTTCCTACCAATGAATCTATTTTGAAATACAAATTATGTTTACATTTTTAAAATGCTTAGGTACGTAGTAATAATTACCATTGCATTTTTGGCAGAATATCAAAGTACATAAAAATAGATATTAAACCGTAAAACTGACAAAAATTGAATCGCAGATAGTTCGCATATATTATATAATCACTCCGTGACAAATGTTTGCTTTATTACCTCAAAACACATCTTTCTGCTTTCAAAAACTAGTGAAAAATTATTTCAAAAATGTAATTAAATAAATAAGTAGCCATTAAGAAAATATTAACGATTTGACCTAAAACCTTTCATTAAAACTGGGTTGTCAACAAGCAAGATAACAAATCTGTAATAATACAACAAAAAGTCAAGAGAAAATTAAAACCGCATTTGTCCCAGATTAGATAATACCAAAGCCGATGATTAATTGGTTTCATATTTATGGCATGTAACATTGCTTCCGTTTATTTATATTGTAATATTTACATTATGTTTATAATGCGGTCGGAGCAGAAGTGCACATTATTTGCAGAAATTAGGAGAATGTATTAAATTTGGTGATTTTTACTCAAAAAAGTAATTTATATGCTAATAAATAAGAAAAAATTGAATCTTTCTATTGTTTGCAATTGGTAAACTTTTATATAACTTTTATATAACTTTTATACTTACAATAGTAAATCCACAGGCCAAGTTATTTAATGAAGTGTACATTTTTTTTTACTTCCATTTTATGCGTGTTTAAAGAACTGCAGCAGTTGCCTTGTAGAAGTTCTGCAACTATTTTTGAAAGTCCGATGGTACATTTTTATAAAGTATTTCAATGCAAAAAGTACACTCAAATTTTGGTTTTCGCATCCCATGAATCGAAATTATCAATTTGCTGCGAAATATTAAATAAATGCATGTTAAAGTTAAATATTAATCTGATTTAATTGATTAACCAAACCAACAATACTGCTTTATTTTCAATGTTGAATGAATTTAGAACCAATAAGCCTCGATTTCGTTTCTTCGGCGGAAATATTAAACATCGATAAAATTAGTATTCCTCGGAGTTTCTAATTCAGTACGTCAATGTAAAATAAATTCACAAGTGCATCGAATTTTAATTAGGTATACTGCAAAAGTACTGCTGCTGCTGCTCATTTAATGGCGCACGTCCCAATCATGAATCATATTTTGAATATGTTGATTTTTAAAACTCTATAAGACCTCGATCGTATAAACTGGTGATTGAAAGTCTTATTTCGCATTTATTATTTAATTTAGGTTCATAATTAAAAGTAACAATGTTTTAAGAAAGCTTTCAGTGTGATAAGTCCAACTCTTTCAAAATAAATGTGCATAAGATCAGCTGAAAAATATTCAATTCAATGGTTTTTTCAAGTCGCCATCAGTTATTTTTATATCAGTTTGTATATTAACTTTAAACACTGCCATAGTATTTTTATAATATCGTATTTATTATTTAATTGATACAACTTTGAGCGCAAATCAAAATAATTGTTGATTTAACTGACAAAGTTTCGAGTTCAATAACACGATCGAACCTTTCTATGGAATTAAAGTAAATAAAATAGTGAATAAATACCTCCTAATTTGTTTAGTAAAACTGAAATGTTATTAGCAATTTAATATGTTAATAAATATGTTCAGAGCACTGAAAGTTCAAGGAGGAAGTTCTAAGAGACTATAACAAAAACACGAGAAAATACAGAAACAGCAGACATCAACGAGCTAAATAAAACAATAACAGAAGCACTAATAAAAGCAACAAATGGGCTCTGACCAAAACATGAAAAAGAGAACAAAATCCACCATTACAACAAAGCAGTAATGGAGCAACGAAAATCACTGAATCGCAACAACCTAGTACCTCAAGAAATAAGTACTATGAACAAAGAGATCTCCCGAAATATCCGGAAAGACATAAGACAGTACAATAAAGAGCGCATGCAGCAAACAATCGAACAAAACATAAGCTTGAAAGTTCTCAGACGGAAGCTAAATAATGGCAAAAAAGAAATTATAAAATTGAAAATCAAAAAAGGCGAAACAACATCGGACAGAAATAAAATTCTCGCAATAGCAGAAGAATTCTACCAAGAATTATACAAAAGCCAACAAAAGACACACAACACACCTGAARAGACAGAAAAARAGAAAGGAGTGGTTAATCAGGGTTCAGAAGACATAYCTGMGATTGCCAAGGACGAAATTAAAAATGCTCTCAAAAATATGAAGRATTAAAACGAGCTCCCGGGGAGGACGGTATAGTAATAGAGGTTTTTAAAATGGGAGGGGAAGTTCTTCTTGAAAAGATTCAAAACCTATCTAATATGTGTCTTTTCGACAGCATAATCYCAAGCGARTGGAACAACGTTTTAATTCTATTGATCCATAAAAAAGGARATCATACGGAAGTCCAAATGTATAGACCTATAAGCATTYTCTCCYATGTGCATTTTTGGCCTTGGACGAATATCTGACGASATAAAGACGTCATATTTCGGACGTCCAAAAGGCGGAACATTCGAACGTTTTTTGGACGTCATATCTGACGATTAACTGACCATCCGTTTTTGTTAGTCAGTTATGGCGTCAAATCGCTTCCAATGTGATGCGTGGAACCGACAACCACAAATCACGTGTGTACGTGTGATTTGTGCGGGCAATTATCTGTGTTTTCTTTTCTCTGGGTATTTTGTATTAGTGAATATTAGTAGTGAGTCAATGGAAATAACTGGTAAGTAAATTAGCCACTTATTAGCTTGAGCTAATTTTTTTAATTTGTTTATTTAACGAAATTTATAGTGTGATTCAATTGGGCGACTTCGGCAGCAATGAGTTGCCTAAAGTTTTTGGCCACCCGTTAAAAAATCCAAATACTTTAGGAATATGAAATAATAAAAATAAATAATCCATTCCAGTGAATGGGGACGAAGTGATATGTTTATCTATTTTTTTAAAACGTTTTTTAGGTTTTTAGGTTAACTTATATGTTAGTAAACAAGTTTTTTAATCAGTTTATCTTCATTTTATATACTAAGCCCCCAAATCAGCATACCTACAATTCACCATTTTCGGGACAAAATCTGTATGTATCTATGTATCTATTAGAGCATCTGTCCGTATATAAAGATTCACCTTAACGTCTAATCTACGCTTGTGCATTCGTCATTTAGGCATCTTTATGACTGGTCATTTAGACGTTTTAAAAACTCGTCATTTAGACATATTTATGACTCGTCATTAAGCCGTCGTAAAGCTGTGACTTACTTACGTCAGTTGGACGTCTAACTTATCAGTCCTGGAATAAGATTTAAAAAAATGTCGTCATTTGGACGTCATCTAGACTAAAATTGCTACTTGGGTGGAGTCTCTCAAACACATTCTCCAATCTAAATTTCACGAAAATTTTGAGAATTTAATAACAAAATAGAGTAACTGACGGTTGTCTTGGAGTATATGCGGCGTATATTTCCTGTCGTGCTTCAAACGAAATTTTCGTCGGCATTAAAATGCAGCAATTTGCCTGAATTCAACCGACTTCGCCTCTCTACCGTGCACGAGATCCAATTGCAATTCAAATTTGTCCCACCCTGTATACAATTCTTCGGACACTTTCTCGTAGTTTAATAATATATACTGATTGCAAAATTCTGTTAATAGATAAAAGCCTCGGTTAGAAAGATAAACAGTCTGAAGTTGTATGTAGAATGTAAATATGTTTACATAAATATTATAATGTAAATATGTATTACAGTGTAAAAGTGAATTTTAATTGTGTTTTTGAGCGACACAATATTGAATATTAGAGGTTGGCGTGATGTCCAAAATTTGGATAATGTGGATCAAAAAAAACGAATCAATTGGAAATATGCGTAAGCAAAACAAATGCCAAAGACACGATGCGAATTTAAGACAACTTATAATACAGATATACTGAAAAGTTAGTAACCTCTAATGAAGTTAGTATCAATTATTAATAACCAATTATGGTAATAGATACGTTTTCACACCTTGTTAGTGTATATCGTAAAAAATTAGTGCAAACAATAATTTTTAATAATAGGTAACGGTTAAAGTCATGAAAACCGCAAATTCATTTTACACTGACTGCTAAACTAAGTATTTAACATTAAAGTTAATTTAATCAAATGTTTTGCAACTTTTTAATTGTGTTATTACTGTCTAGGGCCTGTCCACAAATCACGTAAGACGGTTTGGGTTGGGTGGGGTGCGAATGAGTTTTACGAAATATTATTTTGATTTTAATTTCGCCCGAAAAAATGTCAAACTTGTGATGTATAAATGTTTACAAGGCTTATCTAACTAGTTTTCATCTCTATCTGTTAAAATTTTGTAACTATATTACATTCATACTTATACATACTAATGTAAGTACTTTTTTTAAATTTTGATACTCATTTATTATTTACTACTGATTCGCCTTGACGACGTAAAACAACTGTTTAAGCGATAAATATATTTCCATAAACATTTCAAACATTTAATTATTTTGAGATAATTACTTTTAATGATAAAAATTCAAAAGACATAAATAGGTACATTTCTTTCTCAAAGAATGAACAAACATTACGTAAACAGGGAAGGAGGGGGAGGGAGATAATTTAAGAAATCTTACGGTCTCTTACATTGGGGTAGGTGGGGGAGTGGTCAAAAAAGACCTTATGTAATTTATGGACGGCCCCCTTGTTTATTATTGCAAATTTACCTGAAATCATGTTCACGTTCAACCTTGTGCTCCTGCTGGTCAACTGGCGTTGAACTTATTTGAACAATATACAAACGAGCACACGGTCCAGCAGTCTTATCTTTTCCTCCGCCATCATTTGTCAGTTCAAGTTCGAGATCCAGAGGTTTTTGGAGCACCTAAATAGTATAAAAACATTGATAGGTGAGAAACCATCAAAAAATACTACCAGTTTATTAGATTACCTGATCCATTCGGATGATTCCCTCAGCCAAAGTTTTGAAGCCAAGAATAGTTCGGTTCTTATACCGTTTCCGTCTTTGGAGTAAAATGTGAAGCTTGTTACCCTCTCTCTTTAAGAAATGAGGATACTGAAGACAAAAAGTGACATCCAATGAAGCATCAAGTGCACCGTTTGACGGTATTATGAGTTCATTGGATCTTAATGTGCGCTTGCTGGAATGCATCTTCACAGCAATGGATATACTGGCTATATCTGATCCTAACGGTTTTAAAATCTGCAGCCTGGTTAGCGTTAAGGTGCAGAGCCTAAGAAAAAATAGATGGGAATTAGTAAAAAATTGATACCAAGTGTTCAACTGTTGCGAGTCTTTAGAACACGCTTTCGATCGGGAAAATGTCGATCCAACGTGTATGTTAGTAGCAGAAGGCTACTGAAAATATGAAACTTCTTGTGAGTCTGACTTTTTGTTACTATTTGTTCTGTACTTTCTAAATGCCCCCAAACAGCATCTTTCTTTTTTCTGCTGAGAAATTACTCCATTCCTATTTTAACTTATGTTTCTGCTAACATTACTGTTAGCAGAAATTTATTTTATTTATCTTCATTGACTAATTGACCTTTCTTATCAACCGTGCTGACTTAATGTGGAAAAAATTGTAGGTATGTCAACTACTTTTTCAGAGCGGCTTCCTATAAGGTGTCTCTTATGGAAAAACAAGTTAAAATTTAAAAAAATGGTGTTCTTGTTGTTGGTTTCGGAAACAGCGTCTACATAGTTAGAAGGTTTATTTTCCCGGACGTGAGCATGTATTACCGCTGTTGAAATACAGTCTTATTAGGACAAACTATGTTTAAAAAACGAAGAATTATAGGAAAATGAGTGTTAAATAAAAGTCAGTCAGTATTAGTTATCCCGACATGGTACAATCAAAAGTCCGTTGCTGATTAAATACAGATCATAACTTGGCTTATTGAACACGAAACACACATGCGAAAGTTTGAAATATAAAATGTGATTTCACCAATTTGCATATACTCATAGTAACTAGGAATTGAGGCCTTTCCTTTTTTTCGGAGATATTTCGAAGTTTTTCAGCAAAACAATAAAAATAATTGTCTAGCTGGCCTCAATGTATTTCATTCGCACCTGCATGACTTTTTTCCATTATATTTACGTAAATTGCGGCTGTTTATGCTGACATCAACAGATGAAATCAGCAGGTGAAATCAAAAACAAATACCTACAAAAAAACGAGATTATTTTCCTGATGGAAATAAATTCGTCAGTTGAGAATTCAATGTTTCGTTGCTATGCATAATTCAAAATAAGTTTTTCAATTGAGTTGCCAAAGCAATTATTTACAGTTATATTTCAATGCGTGCACTGATTACACGCGTTTTATCACAGAACTGTACAAATTACGGCAGAACCTGTCAACACCGTTTAATAACTTTTATCTTTTATAGCACTTTCCATTGTTTACAAGAATTAAAAATTAAATCTGCTGAGTTTGGGCATAAAAAATGTGAAAATTTGGAAAATCGGTAGCGATGTAGCCTTTCTTAAGCTTTTTACTTGCTACGAAATTCTTTCAAAAGTTCGAGATCAATAGCAACATGCGTATAACGCGTAAATAGCTTTCCATGACTGTGTTGTTACCTGACGCTAACATTCTCAAATCAGTTCAGCGATCAGATGCTCAGTGGCGACGATTTTCACTTTCTTAGTAGAATAAATGTTCTTGTAATAAACACAGAACACAGTTTAGAATCCTCTTTTAAAAAATTGTGTTGAATTTTCGATATTTTTTTGACCTTCTAACAACAAATAAAATACAATTAAGAAGTTCTGTCCGTCCAAACATGTTTGTGCCTGTGCAACATCACGTGTGCACTCTTTGCAGCAGTCTGGGCTCACATTTTGAGCAGTTTCACGTATTCGGTTAATTAACTCGTGCTCAATTTGTACCGGTGTTGAGAAAAAAGTGACTTAATATGTTCTTGTGTCCGGTGTATCTTACATCATGGTAGGAATGTAGCCCTTCCTCAGGGAGTTATCCGAACAATTATCCGGTGTCTGGGAAAGTGTCAGTTATTGTGCAATTATTGTTAATCTTGACAAAAGCTATGAAATGACAAAAAACATCATTAGGTCAAGCTATAGGTATTTAAAACTGCTTTATCTCGACATAATCGGACTTACGGTAACGCAACCAGACCTGCCGGAAAAAGACAGATTGCAAACTTTGAACCGCAATTAAAAAAAAAAACTAATAATTCGACAGCACCCGCCTTTGGCACATATAAAGAGCATCAGAATCCCTACCAAAATTTTAGCGCTCCAGCTCAAAAAATGAAGGAGATGAAGTTTCGAAAATACGCCCAATTTTCCGGTTTTTTCCTAAATTACTCAAAACGTAGTTCTCCGATTGAGGCGTTCGACCTCTCATTGTGTAGATATTTTTATTCTCTCCAAATTGTCTCCTTCGGGCATCCCAATTGCTCTGTTAGCTTCAAAGTTATAAACAAACGGCAAAAATCCCGTTTTTTTGCAATAAATTGTTAATAACTAACATATGGACCGAAAATGTGAGTGAGAAACACATACCTATTCATCTGCTCATTATCTTTTATATCATCGCACAATTGGTTTACAACAACTCTTTATGTCAAGCAAAAATGATCTACGGCTTGGTGTACATTGCCGCTTTGACTTTTTATAAAAAAATTGCAGAAGAGTATTTTTAATATTTTTTTCTGTTCGAATGCTTCAGTATTTCAATAAGCTACCAATCAAACATGGGACCATTTCAAAATAATACTTAGTAACAAAGTTGAAATTAAATTTTCAACTGTTTTTCGCCCAAGTTTAAGCAAGGTTTGCAATGTTTAGCTACACTATTGCTTTGCGTATCCACAAGTCAGCCTCAGTAACTCCATAAAGAAGATGTCGCCTATTTTGAATCACCCTGTATATTAAAACCATATTTTATGACTTGTGAAGAATGTGGAATAAATTCCCACTCCCTAGAAAAATAATATACAAAGTCAACATCGTGGAACACAATATATTAACTGATATGCCGTCTTAAATGATTAACTCCCGTTTTTTATCTGATCTGACACACCTACAAAATGACCTAATTTAAGGCAAAAGCAGTAAGTATGATCACATTCTTTGTAATTAAGTGTTTGCCAGCAAGATTAGTTCTTTCACTTTCAAAATTTCCATATACTTACTTATTATTAGAAAGTTTAAAAAATCTAAAAGTACATGCATACGATTAATAAAAAAAAAATGTACCAAATAATTACAAGTTTAGTGGTGAGCTCGTCAGCTCACGATATTAATCTAATTTTTAAATAATGCATTAAAGAGACGTGCCACTTTTTGCGGAAATTGCAACGCCTAATAGACAATAGTTTAAAATCTATTTAAGTGTAATTACTCGTGTTATTCGCACGCCAGTTCAATATGCAATTACAACACCATAAAATTTCTGTAATTGTCACATAGTTCAATGTTACGCAATTTAGAGATTTAAACGTGAATTAGCAATTATGTCCTATTATCTATAGCATTGAAATAGTGCATTAACCTTTAGGAGAATCTGTAATGTTAAATTGCTATTTATAAAATAAATCATTAGCTTAACAGTTTGTGTTTGTCGGTAAGAAAACAGGTCGGGAAAACGCGAATCAAAAATTAGTAAAATGTTAAAGCACAGTATATTGTGTCTATTTTTTATCAAAAAACAACCTATAATTTATACGGATTTTGTAATTTACATTCACAATTTCTTGTGCCTAAATTTAAACATTTTCGTGCTAGATATATTCGAATATAGCCCTATAATGAGCTGATTGTAATGAATAATGAATGAATCTGTTCCATAAATTTACCAATACTTCTATATAAATAGATACTAAATACTGATACGCTACCAACTTTGTTTTTTTAGTGTAGCCTTTAAATGCTAATACGAAAACAACCAACGATCAAACGATTCATTCAATTTAGCTAATGTATATTAAGTACTTATACTTAAATTCAATAATTTCATTTAAGACATTAAAATAAGTGACTTTGATCGTCATTTTTGAAATTTGCGTACTTATTATCATTAGGTTTTAGCTGGATGTGTTTGTACTTAGTTTTATATTTTGATATTGAAAACATTAAATGCAAAACAATCTCGAACATGCATAAAGTTTAGCATCCTGGGGGAGACTTTACGTCGGCCAAATCTTCTAAATGATACACGCGAACTAGTTCTCTTGTTTGTTGGTTGCAAACACGAATTGAATGTTCAGAAAAAGTGAAAGTAGCAGCAAAAGGGCCGCTGATTGTAAGTTTTATACAGACAAGCACTAGCACAGCAATGGATAACTATTTAAAGATCTCACGCAAAATTTTCTTGGTCTCCAACTTTCGAAGAAACTTTGTATTAAGTGACTAATACACTGATGGACAAAATTAGCGCAACCTATACATTTTATTTAGGAAACCCGGGAAAAGATCGACCAAGTTCCACAAACCAAGTGGACGATGGTTTTATACGATTGCAAGCTTTTAGAATCGGTTTATTACCGGAAATGAGATAAAAAACATCGAATTCAAAATACCCAAAATGTTGCAATTTATTCCAAAACGGTAAGAAGACTCAATGAATCCGGATTGCGTGCAAAACATCCCGCAAAAGGTCCTCTCTTAACCATAGCCCACAAGCCAAGCTGCGCTTGAGTTTGCTTGAGAACACGTGGATTGGGATTTGGGTGACTGGAAGAAAGTCTTGTTTACTGATGAAGTTAGAGTGGTGTTTAAATTTTCGGATGGGCGAGCTTTTATTTGGAGAATACCAAGAGAAAGATACAACAGCCAAGCATGTATGGGTCCCCAACTGGCTTTCCGTGGTGGCTCAATAATGTTTTGGGGTGGCATCTCTTTGGAGGCCCGTACGGACCTTGTGGTGATCCGAGGAAGATCATTAACTTCCCAGAGGTACATCCAAGAGATTTTAGAAAACAGAAAACCCTGTCGTACCTTTTGCACCTCAATAAGCGACAATTTCTTGTCTATGGATGATAATCCCAGACCGCACCGAGGTCTAATCGTGCGCGAATATTTTAATGAGGTTGGCATTAAACGGTTAGTGTGGTCAGCACGTAGTCCTGATCTTAACGTGATTGAACATGTTTAGGATCAGCTCAAACGACGTATTCGACGACGAGAATCTACCCCTGACAACTTGACTGAACTGGAAAACGCGATTCTTCAAGAATGGCACAACATACCCCAAGAATTAATTACAAACCTTTTTTATGGCATTCCAAACTTTTGAGGGACGTTTTTCGAGCTAGAGACGGCAGTACACGCTATTGAATCGGTTAAAGACGGATTCTTTACCTGAATTTCAAAATTTATTTTTCATAAATTTTTACCAAAAATCTGATAAACTAGAGATTCATGTTTTGTTTTAATTTTTCTTGCGAAAACATTCCCATATTAACTTAAGAAACAATAATTTGAATTTTGATAAAATTATGTAGGGTTTATAATATTTTTTTCTTTTAAATGTATAGACGGTGCGCTAATTTTGTACATCAATATAGTTAGGATAAATATATACCATTGTATGGACTTTTTACACCAGGAAAAAATCCTTTTACACTAAGCTACCTACATGGAACACCCTTATAAACAATAAAAAATAATGTTGTGAAGGGATGTTATAAAGCGAAGTTGAACATTTCTATAATAATTATGTACCTATTTATGGGATCTAAATCATTTGGTGAAAGACCCTCCTCCGCTAAATTATGGTGTTAGGAGTGAAAACTAAGATAGGGTCGTTTCAAATCTTATGAAAAAATAGTTCATAAAGGGAAAAGTGGTCAAAACCCGCATGTATACAATAAATACCACAAGAACCGTACTTAAATCGGTCCGGCGCTAATTCATTTTGTTAATAACATCAAACTAGTATCTATTAACATGCAATCTCATAATTTGAAAGGTGAGAGAAAAATTTAAGAAAGACTAGGCACATTTTTGAATGGAGGTCTAAGGCAGCTAAGGCACACGTAGCAACACAAAAGTGGATAAAGCATTGAATAGGCTCTTTCACAATTTCGAATAAATGTAAACATTAGTCATGAAAACAAAAAATACTAACTGCGTGAGTAATGATCTATTAACTGATGTATTAGTTTCAAAAAATGTTTTATGAAACAACAAATCTCACCTCGGAATGCAATTAGAAGGTGTTCTATCGACCCAAGTCGCATAAAGCCTCATTTTATGTGGAACGGAAGAACCCGCCCCAGATAATGTTTTGTTTGGTTTTTCACTCATTTTCTAATATGCACCAATTCACCTTATATTATCAATTGGAATTCGTCTGTCTGCGAAATTACCGATACTGAGACAAACCGATAAACCCGGTGTTTTCAATCATACACACTTTCATATCGGTTATTTATACGTTTAACTAATATTATGTACACAAAAGACTGACAACTCGCAAAAACACTTCTAACAACAACTGACTCAACAGAGTTACTGACATGAACCTGATCACGGTAAAGTGATCAACTTTATTGATAAATTGACAACTAGCGACAGAATGCCACAGAACACGTGAACAAGAAGTGACAACTCCCATCAAACGCCCGTGATCGCTTATGCGCGCTCTCTGCCAGGTGTTTACGTCCCTAAATTAAAAAGAAACGGGAATTTCGATTTATGAATTTCAATATGATTGTAAAGACTGTGTCCCATGTATCCGCTTATACGATGGTACGATGATACGAAAGTCTTTCTATTGGTCGGCGGAAGAATTCTCAGATCTCCAACCAATAGAAACACTTTCGTATCATCGTATCGTATCATCATATAAACGGATGCATGGGACCCAGGCTTTACCTTTAAAATGATGTAACGCTGGCAAACACAAACTTAATACTGACCTAGAAACAAAATGGGTACAACATGTAGGTATATGTGTTGGCGTTATTAGAAAAAAAACACAGTCATAAATGATAAAAATATTTCTTATAGCAGAAAACAGAAAATCACAGTCATAAATAATAAACATTTATAATAATAGAAATACGAAAAACACTAGAAATGATAAAATTATTTATTATAGCAGAAACAAGAAAAACAGTCATAAATGATAAACATATTTATAATAACAGAAATAGGAAAGAACAAAGGACACCCTATAAACGATCAACATATATAACAGAAACAGGACAAACAGACGCATAACTGATAAATAAGTAAAATTAAAAACTTCAAAAGCATGTAAAAGGAGCAAATAAACAAAATTATTGATGTCAAAATATGCCTTTCTATAAAATAATAATACAAAAACTACTTATACAATTTGGGTGCAAAATCTTGGATGTATTGATCCACTATAGCATTGTCGCGGCTATCTTTCTGCGGCTTAATTTTCGATTTATTAGAAGCAAAATACAGGGTGATTCAAAATTGGCGTCATTCCTCTGAGGGTGTTGTCTGGGGGTGTTTTGGGAGTACAGGAAAAACAGTAAAAAAAATTAACTCCCAGTAAAAACTGAGATATTTGCAAAAAACTAGATCGGAATTACGGCATCGATGCTTTTCAAGGTAATCTGCCTAATTAACATTACATAAATACCTGTTCCTTTGTAATTTGAAAATACAAATAAAGAAAATAAAAATTCATCTATAAGATGGAAGCAAAGGCAAAAGTCAGCGTGTAAAAACAGGAAGCAACCGTTAAACCGATTGCAAAAAGGCAATTAGTGGGGGTGGTTTCAAGTTTCAAATCCCATGTGATGGATTTTATCAGTCACAAAGTGGTTTAACATGCGCGCCAATTCCGACAGTCAGCTGAGCTCCGGGTTACTCCKGTTAAATTTCGCGCTTGCGCAATGAAASATTCGGTGCGTTTTTTAGTGTCGTCTGCCRATCTATCGTCTCTCACAAACGTTGGAGCATGCGCAGAAAGAGGTCAGTTTTACATTTTAATGTATGCTGTGCAGAATGCTTTGACATAAAACAGAGCGCAACATCAATGGAAACACTAGAAAAAAAAAATATTGCTGTATTCGCGAATTCAACTACCGATGGGGGCGCTGCGAAACATCTCGGCATTGTTAAATGCAAAAATTATTAATAAATTCCTGACGTGCCATATTTTAACCTTAAACCATAGCTACACATTTTTCAATATGTTTCTATTTATTTATAGGCTTACAAAAGCTGAGTAGAAATAAACAAAACTATCACAAYGACATTTAATCAAAACAAGTGTCAAATTTTACTAGTTAAAGTGTAGTTATAATTTCGCCGTCAGTGGGCGCTTGGAACTTTGAACACGCAAATATAAACGAACGACACCGACGGAGAGGCATCTAGGAAGAAGATCCAAACTAATGCAAATGTGATTGGAAAATCCATGATTGTTGTGGTTTTCTTCAACTTTGAAGTAAAGTTCAAAAGCATACTAGATTGTTCAACAGTATAAGGAAATAGTCTAAATAAATGATCTTAGGATTGCATGTTTTTACTGCAGTTTCAAATGTATTCCATTATTTTTACAACTATCTTTGAAATTACACATGAGATTACAATACACACAAAATAACGCAGATATGATAACGTGGATGTTTCAATAATAAAAAAGTCACATTATCTTGGGTTTCAGATTTGAATCAGATATTTTTCGTTTTCCTCGATTGTTTATTTGTTTAGTTATTTTTTTCAGTAACATGTTTCTTAACCCACGCTTCTCCAACCACAGAATATTTCCCACCAATTTTATTCCCACCAAGATTTAATATTTCTTAAATTTAATTTTTAAAGTGGCGTTATAATTATTCAAATAATTAATTTGCCATCCTTAATAATAAAGATTTGAGGATTATTGAGAAGAATGGGCTTTGCGAGGAATATTACACATAACCACAACTAAGAAAGTGAAGAAAAGCAGGAAAACGTGTAACGGTTTTTCCTAGCATAATATAAACTTGTAAACAAAATAAATTGTTAACATGACTGAAAAAATGAGACTTCGGTCGGCGGTGCCGCCTGAGGAAAAAGAGCTTGAACAGGTTTGTTTTGATTATTCACTTGAGTTCTTAATTCATCATTATTTGTGTATTATGCGTGCTGCATCGAAAACAATAGTTTTGTATTGAAACATATTTATTACTAATTAATTTAACTTAACTCCTGAAGCAAACTTAACTCCTGCAGATGGTTTCAAAGAAACGAAACGTTGTAATACATTTTTATAGACACCATCTTGTAGCGCTCGAAAAGGTCCAATACTGTTTCTTGGTATGATTTGTATAAACTAACGAAAATCCGAAAAATCACTTTTTTCTAAATATCTCAAAAATTAAAAGAAATACTTACTTCTTTTTTGAAGAAGTCATGTATATGGTCCTCTGATTGCGCAACTTTTTCGTAATTTAATCGACTTCGTATCTCATAATTTTGGAGATCCCATTATCTCGGCATCTTTATCTCGGACACCCTGTATATACAGAGTGTTTGGTAAGTGATACATTTCTTGCAGGGGGTGATAGTGCAATTAATTTTGGGTATATGTATTTCGTTGATATGCCGTATTCCAAAAACGCTTAGTTTCCGATCTACAGGGTGATAAAGTTTTAATTAAAAAATGTTACTTAACTTAATATTACCGAAACCGCTTGGAATATTTAAACGAAATTTTACAGGCTTAGGCTCTTAACAACAATACATGTTTTGTGATGAAAATTTGGTTTCTAGCTTTTCCAATGGTGTGGGCCCAAGCACGGCCGTATATAATTTTAAATACAAATGTTACGCTACTGATTTTTAAGCAATACACCTGAGGCTTCAAATTCTTGTTCAATTTGGAAAAGAAAAGGTCTCTTGACTTTTTTTTCTACAACGTCCCGCTTTCGAGTAAAAAAATTAAAATCGATATATTGCATAGCTTAATCGGGTTGTAATTAAGTAGGGTTTAGTATAAAAACAAAAATTGTGCACCTAGATTGTATCAATTTTATTACAGAAAAACACAAAAAGAAGTTACTCAGCCACTCGAAATGACAGGAATTATTAAATGTTTTCAATCAGTGACCGTAACTAGTGCAGAGCCAACTTTTTAAATAAAATCCCGATTACGTTGGGCAATAAATCGATTTTAAATTTTTAACTACAACACACGGTGCGTTGCAGAAAAAATGTCAACAGACCTTTTCTCTTCGAAATTGAACAGGAACTTGAAAAATAATATTTATTTTTAGAAAAATCAGTGGCGTAACATTTTTTTTATTAAAAATTATCTACAGACGTGCTTGTGCCCACGCCACTGGCGAAGCTAAAAACAAAATTTTTATAACCAAACATGTATTGCTGTTAAGTGCCTAAGTCTATAAAATTTCAGTAAAATATTCCAAGGGGTTTCCGCAATATTAAAAAAAATCATTTTTTTAATTAATACTTTAACACGCTGTAGATTGAAGACTAAGAGTTTTCGGAATATGGTCTATTAAAAAAATATATCCACAATTACGTGCACTATCAGCTCCTACAAGGAATGCATCTACTTACCAAACACCCTGTATATGTATACTTACAATGTAAATTGGGTGGTTAAATGTGAGGACTAAGACAATGATAGCAGCTTGCTAAGTATTTTTTTACGATTCTTTCACAGCACCTATAAGATTAAATGTGTCGCACCGTATCCTTTAATTGCAAATATCTCTAAAACCGTTGATCTTAGGGACCCCAACTAGGTATCGGAACCCCCGAATACGTAATGTACGAGATATTTGAAAAAGACCGTTTAAAAAAAATACTGCCGGTGTTTTTGTTTCCATTGAGTTTTCTTCTAAGGTAATTTGTGCAAAATCGTAATATTTTGACACCAGAAATCCGCAGATAATTTTTTTACTATTACTTATGGGACACCCTGCACAAAGGTTGTCTGTTCGTTTGTTTTAATTGTGTTAATTTCAATACTTTGTAGAAGAGACAACAGCTGGAAGCAGAGGAAAAATTAAATAGACCCTTTATAAACCATACTGGTAAAATCAACTATGTTACAAGTCTTATAGACTGTGCTATAGCCTGTGATGAATTATTGTGAGTATTACTTAAACTGGACACGGAACTAATTGTATTAAGGCGCGTATAGACATACCAAACAGTAACGCAACACCGTCGCGTAACATTGCTTGTTGCGTAACGAAGATGTTGGACGAACAGAAAGCGCAACATATCATCATCATGAAACATTAATATTCCATCCCGTCAGTTCGTACAAACCTTAAGCAGACTAAATGTGCACTGATAAAACGCAACAAATTCTGAACGCGTTTACACTCAAGTCCAGACTTGCAAAGATCAGCTGCAACATACGCCCGCCCGTATATTTCTTTAACGCGACAGCAAAAGAGCGACAATTGATGGGACGCTGCTGTCCAGAGTTGATACGCGACGATGTTAGGTTACTGTATTCTGTTGCATGTCTGCACATGCCTTTCTGTCCGTACATCGTATCTTTGTTACGCAACAACCAATGTTACGCGAGTTAAGACACCAAACTAGCCTACACACCACACGTGGCAGGATACCAGTCAGCACCTGTATCAGCAACAACTCAACATTATTTTACTATTTAAACCAATGTATCATTTAAAATTCGTCTTTATTCAGCAAGTTGTCTTGCGTTTAATAAAGAACCTGTGTTTTTAAAAAGTATTCTTTCCGTGGCTAGAATCTAAGTCGCGACGGTGTTGCGTTACTGGATTCTGTTTGGTATGTCTATACGCGCCTTTACTAACAATACATGATCAAAAGAGTACTGCTACATTCTTTAGTTCAAAAGAAGACGATCTGACCCAACTTTTACTAAGAAAAAACGTATGGCTTCTGTGCTATTGATGGTGAAAGTGAAGATATTGAAGAAATATCGGGAGAATATAGTACGGTGAATTTGAATGAAACTGGTTGTGAATTTTTTCCCATATAAGACTTGTGCCTTAATGAAGCAACCGAGTGCATCCGCCCGCTTTGGGCAAGTGAGGAATTTTTTAATGTCTTGATTCAAAAATTCTTAGTTTTTGCGAAAAAAAATTCTTATAGTCGGTTTACTGGACGTATATAATTACAACCCGCAAGACAAAAAAGAAGAAAAATCAGAATATGTACTACAATATGCAGACGACACTGCACTGATCGCACATGAAACACTTACCTATGTGTGATAGCACTATAGACAAACTTTAAGCACTGACAAATAAAGCAATGGCATGGTTCTACAAATGGAGAGTGACACCAAACTCCACAATGCAAGCAGACGGTTAAACCATCGCACACGCAAAGTACTTGAGCATTGTGATTGAGTATCAAATGAAATTCTCAAAGCATGCAGAAAACGAAACCGAAATCACTGAAGAGCGCAAAACACTCAGTCGCTGACCTACGAATGCGGAGGTAAATTTACATAGAGATCTGCAGACCACTACCGGACTTCCTCATAGCAAGCGCAACATTATTATTATTATTATTATTATTATTTGGCTATATATCTTGAACGTATGATTTCATGTATAATTTGTTCTTATTAAATGTTTTTTTTTCAGAGAAATGGCAAACAAATGTCTTGACCAAGTCTTTGTCGTAGGATTCGATTTGGAGTGGCCTTTCAGTTTCCAAACTGGTCCTGGAAAAACCGCTCTTATGCAAATTTGCCCCACCACACATATTTGCCATTTATTTCACTTTACACATCTAAAGAAACTACCTAAGGGCTTATACGAGTTCTTACAACATCCGAAAGTGAGACTTACAGGAATAAACATTAAAAAGTATTTAAAGTGATATTTTCATTAAGACAATGTTTATTTAGACGCTTTGTTTTCTGATCTTTCAGCGATGTCCGTAAACTAGCAAGAGACTTTGGGGGATTTGATGTAAATAAACTTTTAAACAACTGTATCGATTCTGGAGTAATGGCAAATGGAATTCTTCCAGTTACACAGAGATGGAGCATGGAGAAACTAGTTGATTATGTGGTAAGTCGACAATGGTACACATACATACATACATACGATTGTTGGTTCACTTTACCGAATTTGTAGTTGAAAATGAAGGTGAATAAAGATAAAAGCGTTAGGATGAGCAAATGGCACATTGTACCCTTAAGCAAGGAACAGATCCAGTACGCAGCAACAGATGGATATGTAAGTCTATTGAAACTTATTAAAATTATTGGATATTATTGTTGATTAATGTTAATATTAACACATATTATGTAATGAATTAATTGATTAATTTTGGAAAAATCGCACCTTTAATTTGTTTGTTTTAGGCATCGCTGCTAATTTATATAAAATTAAAAGAAACTGAAATGGATACTAGTGAATTGCAGTAAGTTATATTTCGTCAAAGTAGAATCTTGACAATAAAATGGCTAAAGTTAATCGAAGTCGTCTCGTGAAATAAATACTGATTATAATCTGGTCTGATATATAACACGTCTGAAATTTTAAACATTATATTTTGTTCTTTAATTGTCGTTTTATAACAATACAACAATATTTTTTTTTACAAATCTAGAACTACAACGGATGAATATACAAAATAAATAAAATGTTAAATTAAGTTTACATTTACATTTACAGTCTGCCTTTTAAACCGCAAGGTGCAACATTGTCGAAGACGATGAGGTACAGTCGACGATGTCTTCCGTGCCTCGGTGAAATACGTTCTGTAGAGCATTTGATTTGGGGATAGAGCTAGAGCCGTGGTGAGGAACCCTTTTAGTTAACGGGACAATTTTAAATTCTGGTCTAGTGGATAAACCGGTTTTTAAAAATGCCATTCAAAGTGTTTGGTGCGCTTGAATCGCTATATTCCATATTTTAGTGGTCTCCAATATCCAATAATCCCTTAAATTAATCTCATTAAAAACGTTATGTTGTTTCTTACAAAATCGTATATGTAACACTACAGAGAAGAATCAAAGGAATACATTACTTTGGACTTCGCGGGGACCAACTGTAATGTTAATATCACCACAAAATATATTTTGAGAGAGAATAACAATTAAAAATTATACAAATTAAATCATGATATAAAGATTTTAAATATTTTGTACAACTGTTTCGTATTGTTTTAGTAGTTCCTCGCCCGTTCTCGTATACGAAGGATCGAACATTCTGCCCTCGGGGTTTTCTTTAAATAAAAACTCTGCAAGGTAATCAATAGGGTCATCCGGCTTGATTTTCGCTACTTCTGACAAACCTGGAATAATTACATATACAGGGTGCTCCCTACTTTCTACTTCTCAAAGTCAGTGCTGTGTATTTCAGAAGTGCAGATCATTAAAGAACATATATTTTAGTTTTAAACGTATTCCACACTTTTTATTTCGATTTATTCTCTCTCTGAAATAACACACATGATATCCCACACTCCTTCAACCGACAATTCTACTTTCAAATTCTGCCATACGAGCAAAACAAATATTAACAAGGTGCAACCTATCCATAATAAAATTCTTTGCAACTTAGCCAAACGATTTTGGTATGTCAGAAGCACAGAAATATCTAAAGAACTCAACATTGAAAGCTACATAGGAAGCTTGATAGAAATCATATTATCAAACTGAAGTATGTAGGTACACATCTTTCTTGAGTTGAAAAGTGAAGATTTTACTCTGCATGATTAATGTGTTTTATTTTTAAAAAAATTATTGGAATAATAATTCTGCAATCAAAAAAGCCCAAATTTGCTTACCTCGAGTTAGTGTCGGAAATACAAACTTCATTAAGTAAAATCGCAATGGTTCGCTTTCAGCCGCAATGATCTTTTCTTCCTCCATTTGGAGTTTTTCCAACGTTTCCGCCCATTTTTCCATTTTATCTTCGTAGTCCTGCCTGGCAGTATTTTCCGCTAGCTAGTTGTAACACGCTTTAAAACCCTTGACAACACAATTACTTACAAGTTACCTGTTTCTCTATTAAATATGCTTCTTGCTTGAGACGTCTTTGTTCCGTTTCCATCTTTCGCAGCTGTTCTTCTTCTTCATCCGTTAAACCGATTCCCGGTATAGGTGGTCCAAACATTTTGTACAAAAACGCTAGTATACATTCGATATCCTCCAAACCTTCTTCAGTTATATCAAGCACAATAGGATGGATTTCAACCTCGTCAAAAAAGGTCAAAACTGTGTTGTCCGGAGTGTTATTATTTCGAAAGTCAATGAGTCTTCGAATCATGTTTGGTTCATCATAGTGAGTTCCCTGTGTTTCAAATTGCATTTAAAATTTAGAAAATTAATAGTTGTTTTGCATACCTGAATCTCTCTTTGTGGCAACTTCATAACCCGTTCACAGAGAAATTCGTCGTCTGCTTGTAAACTTATGAGAAAGTCTGGCATAATATCCACACTTGCATTGCCCATCATGTCTCCTAAATTATCAACACCGCCTTCTCCTGCAGCTTCTTCTGCTTCAACTGTACTTTTGGCCTCGCCCGATTCTCTTGGAACTTCGGCAGCTTGCCCAAATAATTCTTTTGCCTACGTTTCCCACAATCTTAAATATTTCATTTCTAATATTGCTATCGTACCTGTTGTATGGTTTTGGGAAAGCCATCTAGCACATAGCCATGGGACTGGCATTGGGATTTCATCAAGAATATACGCATTAAGCGGACAACATAGTCGTCAGGTAATTTCTGATTAGGGCTAGAACTAATCAAACTATTAATGTCTCGAATTTGTTCTTCGTATCTTTCGATTTCCTCTTGAATGTCGATCATTGGGTCTCCTTCGTTTTCTTCCTCCTCTTCTTCGTCAATGTCTTCGTCGGAACCTGTGTCTCTAGGGGTGCCGGAGGACTTTAATAAAGCTTGTTCTCTAGCTACACAGATATTTTGTCTCTACAGTTATATAACAATAAAAAGAAAATTGAAGAGTTCACAACTTTAACAAGAAAGTCGTTATGTTACCAGGTCTTCCAACGTTTCATCTATCATAGATTTTACAGACACATAATGGGCCCCGTACCGTTGACATATGCGTTTCGCAATATCAGTTTTGCCTGCGGCTGGAGGTCCATGTAGAATCACTTTCAGCGGTTTGAGTATATCTCCAAACTGGGCTGTTAAGTTTTTTGAGGTCATAGTGATAGAAAAGATGACTACTTTCAAATGACAGACGACGCAACGTTGAAACGGTGTAATTGTTGGCCGTTTTTTCAAAAGTAAAAAAGAAATTTTTATGAAAAAAGTGTCACATATTTATTTATTTACCAGAAATATTATTCCATCTAATAATAAAAATTTTGCTTTGTTGTGGTAGACATGCCGACTGTGTCGTTGATTCGTTACCTCAATCGTATACCGAAAACGGTAGGAAACACACTGGATTAGTCTGAAAAGTGGGCTACTCTTAACCAGCATGATTCAACGGTTTTACATAATTTAAGCAATGCATTTGTCATGTTACCACTTCTACCAAACATTAGCAACTTCATTGATATTTTAAGTTGAAACACCCTGTATCTGATTCGCAATATTGACAAAAACGTTCTATATTTCGATTTTTTTAAGTTTTAGCAAACTTCCTCTCACTTCTGAACGCTCAATGTTCTAAATTTCCACTTAAAAATACTGACAATTTTAAGGTAATTCCCGCAATAGAGTATAAAGTAAATTTTATTAGAACACTCGCTTCTTTCGCCACTTTGTAAAAAGTTTTGAAATCCCTTTCTAGCTAGTAAAATATTTTTTATCAAACAAAGAACAGAATAAGGGAAAGTTTATAATAAATTATTTGGAAAACTCGATACTCACATGATTCTGAAGACTAGAGTTTTTTAAAAACTGTAGTTTTTTAGTTTTCACTGAAATTTTTCATTGCTTTATTTTCTACTCAAAACGGCTCTATTTTGTAGAGTTTTACTTGAAAATACTAACATTCTGGAGGTCTTTTAAGGGAAAATTTACACGATAAATGTATAGCTTTGTAGAATTTTTACAAAACCTTTTTTCAGTATCGAATTCGAGGCAAAAACGAAAATAAAGGTATTTCGTTTATTTCCCGAAGATCATTTAGGTTTTCCCAAAAACCGATCACAAAACTGAAAGTTTTTAAACAAAAGCGCAAAAAACCGTTATTTTTCGATGCTTTTGTTATTTTCTGACAAACATGCGATATTTTCAGCAAAAAATTACAAAATTAATTCTGTTAGAAAATTTACCTTCTGTTAGAAAGTTTCGCCGCTTTGCAGATGATTTTAGAAAACTCTTTTCAGCTTCAAATTTGGCACAAAAGCCAAATAATTTTATTTGGCTCAAAAGCGCATCTCTACACAGTTTTACCCAGGCCTAATTCTTACATTATACAGGAGCGTATAAAAAGCATAATTGTTGTTTCSARAAACGACGCTATGAATCTAATATCTATATCGAATATCTAAATTTGTGAATGAAACACATATTTCTTCAATAACACTTTTTATATTTTGGAATAACTACGCTATACAATATGTTCGAATATGAATTGTATAAATAATTTAATTCAACTTCCTGATGCGGTCTACATTAGCTAATTTGAAAAGCCATCTAAAAACACTACAATAAGAAAAATTAAATTACGTAATTAAATGTATCTTCGAAATACAACAGCCTCCAGCCTTAAGTATTTAAATATCACTCATTCCCTATGCCTAAAAATCTTAATTAGTTTTCACTAAAAACTGTACAGTAAAAAAGGAAGGTAAAAAATTCGCTCGGTTTGCTCCAACTGTTGTTCGTTTCATCTTTCATCAATGTTTCAAAATAATAAAGAAATAAAAATTTATAAAATACACCAAAATAAGAAATGATAGTATGACTTACCCTCTGTCAATCATATATATAGATATCTTCAAGTTACATATATAAAATCCGGTGTCAAACTACTTGTTTTACTCAATTATTAGGATCTTCATCAGTTGCGAACGGTTGATGTATACAGTGTTTCTTACAATCTATTTGTCAAATATTTCCACTCCTTATTAAGAAATATAAATAGCATAATTTGCTTATATTTAACTAGTAAACTATGTAGTTTATCGTTGTAGACTTTTATGTTTTATTTGATAGATTTACAAATGATTAGGGATACAAGACAGAAAAGAACAAAACCATTCTGATACACTGATACTACATATAAAAAGGCTTGAGTTTAGTCCGTGCAGCAGATAAAAATAATATATTTTGGCTAAAAAAGATACAAATTGATTTCAGAATGATTAGGTAAGATAAGTGTATGTATGTACGTTTTTTAAATGTGAATATGCTTAAATCCACCAATACCGAAGTGAAGCTTGCACAGTGAACTTTAACTTCACTCTCACAAAATACATTAAGCAGCAGAGCGAATTTTCTTTTCTACTGGTAAAAATGGAAGAAATTGTTACACTATCTTAATAGTAATTACTGGCTAATTAATTACTGTTTCGTATTATTTCTAAAAATTTCAAGATATAGCATATTAAGTTAGATTGAAACAGTATATAGATTAAAAGATTAACTTAGATCAACAGCTAGATTGTAACCAATAAAAATGTCCGAAAAAGGAATAAAATTTAAACAAAGATTCGCCAAAATACGACTTATTTACACATTCTTTCTGAATAAATTTCCTTATATACACAGCGTAATTAACAATCTCCATCTTTAACATTTTATTAAATTATATGATTAACTTCAAGCGTAAATGCATGCATCGATTTAACAATAGCTATTTAATTTCCCAAATGGAACATTAAGAATGAGGCACAAAAGTGGAAACGTGAATCAATATGGGTGAAAATATTTTTTTAAATTATGTGCGTAACCGTGCTTAAAATAGCATAGCGATAATACAATTCAACCCTAATAGAAATACTATATTTGATGTTAAAATAACTTTCAAAAACTATAATATTAGTACCCCTATCAAAGTTGACACAAATCACTGAACATAAATACGAAAACATCGTTTAAATATTCGCCTGCAAATATTCAGAATATACTGATTTTCAAGATTTCGAAAAATTAATAAATAGTAGTTGAGGCAGAGTCAACAATCAACTAATATACTTAAAACACAAAATACATTTTATCTAACACTTAAAACGATTTAATCGTATTGCTTTATTCTCACGATATTAACAATCTACAACGAGCTTGTTAATAGTTAGGAAATTGGACCACTCAATCTATGACTGCAGGAACAAAGAACAAAATATTTAAAAAAACATTTCAAGTGATATGTCAATTTTTTTCATTAAAAGCCATTTTTTTCCTTCTTGAGACTATCCTCATACTACTACTTAGTTCAAGTTTAAATGTATTCTTCGAATCTAGTTGGTACATAGGATTAATAATACTGACAACTAGAAATCTAGTATCACTAAGCCATAACATCAAGAAGTGAGAGAAGAGTATAAAAGGTGACTGGTGGTAAATCCACTCCCTTTAGGACTTGAGAAGTTTGTTGGCACGCTGGTTTGCCACCGCGATTCGTGTTTCGTTGCTTTCACCCTATCCAACAGATATATAACTAGTGTGCATATATAACCAGTGTGCCCCAAAATTAACCTAGATCTTAACGAGAATACATCTACCTGGTTCCCACAAAACCTCTTAATGCCATCACCCGCCTTTACTCCAATCTACCGTAAACGATAAGCACAAATAGACACGTCGGGAGATTATTGTCATATTAAAAAGCTTGAATATAAGCAGCAACTTAGTTCAATAACTTCTTGGTGGGAACGAGTTAGAGGCGCAAATTAATAAACAATGGTGTTAGTGTGTTAAGTGTCTACTTGAGAAGGTCATGAGCACGTTGATTGGCCACCTCTATCCTTGCCGCATTGGAATCGCCCTTTTGAAGCACAAACAAACACCATGTAAAGGTGGCGTGGCGTGTACGAATTGTAGATTGTAGATGATATTGTGTCATGGAGTGAACGAGGTAGGCAATGTAAACAAACAATCAAAGATTAATTGCAAAAATCTAGCAAATATTAGTAGTAAATATGTTAGTGCTTTGTTTTTAAGTAATTGAGCACAGAGCGGAGTAGATCATACATAGTTAATACTAACAAAAATTGAATTATACTTGCTAAATAAAGAATACTTCTAAAACTTTCCATACTACTTGCTATGTGTAATGATTCCCAATTTTTGTTCTGCAAACTGTACAGTCTGTTTTAAAGTCAACTAAACTTTCACTAGTGACGTTTTTCCAGTTTGTAGATCGTTATGTACAAACTAATTAACGGAATGTCTACATAATACTTCTCTAAAGAACAGTTTTTTTTGAATATTCAAAATTAAAATACTTTCACTATACCTGGTGGGCCGCAGTATTCGCGACTTTAATTCACAAGAAAACAATTATTTTTAAGTGTGTCACATTTTAAAATCCTTATACTTTTAGGTTACCCCCAATGCAATAATCCACAGCCAACACAGGAAACATAGTAATTATTAACGATGTGCAAAGCGAGAAACATGAATGAATTTTTCTGTTGCGACCCCTTTCACCTCACTAATGAAGAGTTTTTGGTTACACTTTTAAAATACATTCCAGTTAAACAGCATTTTGAAATTTAGCTTGTTTGAGGTTCTGATGTTTTATATATAGTGAATCTAATAATTTATCTGTTAAACAATGTACAAAATAAATATTACCCCAATGCATAATAACCCTTAATTCGTTTACAAGAATGTGACCTTGCAAATTTATTAAATCTGATGTTTTTACCTTGAGATTGACCCTTTCTAGCTGCCTGTTCTGATTCTCCAGTTCTGAGCCCATGTCAATGGCCATGTTGCGCAAGTTGCCGATCATAGTGTTAACCTGTGAAAACAATTAAGTACAATCTTGCCTATAAAAGACCACTTTATCTCGGAGTAACTTTATCCAGTAGATACTTTCTTCGGATACCTTTACTACCCAAATTGAAACAATGCTGTCTGTTCGATTACTCAGAGATAAAGATGTCGGACTAATGTAACAAATAGAAAACAAAAAGCAAATTCCATTTTCAAAGAAATATCCACGTTTCCGCACATCTAAGACAAACAAAAAAACATAAAAAATAAATAAATAAAAAAAGATTTATTTGTTACAAGTTGTGATATTTTTTTGTTTTATCAATTGATCACTGCTTTGCCAAATAAAACATTTAGTAATGCGTTGCTTATGCTTAAAAAAAGCTATAACAAGTAGTAGGTTGTCATTTAAAATTTTAGAGTTGAGGTGGCTAAAGGCTAGATGGTTGGTGCGGATATTTTTCTTCTTGAACCATTCTTTGTATTTTTATACTATTTCCTGTAGTTTTATTGCATTTATTAATGTTTTAAGGCAACATATAGTCATTTTATAGATGTATATATAATTCCATAATTTTATTTTCAAATGGATGAGAAACAGAAGCTTTATAATACATGTTTTTTTATTAATACAATGCTTCAGGTTGATTTTCCCGGAACATCTGAGAAAAGTTGTGCATAAATGGATATTGAGTCCTCCATAATGATTAGCACAATTAGCACAATTTATAAATGGCCTTGATAAAACAACATATACAAAAACTGTATTATTGGCAAAATACCAGGCGAGTACCGTTAATGTGCAATCTATTTATTTTTGGATATTTTTTAACTGCAATATTTTCCTCTGTAAACTATAACTTACATAAAAAGTTGCTATTAAGCCAATTCATTTCCTCGTGAGAAAGTCTCGAAAAAAGACCATTTACCTTGACATACACGTACACTCATATCGCGAAACAGAAACGTGCAAAATGTGATGGGAAGTATAAAGTGAGTTTAAGGGCACTATTTGTTATGACAAAAAAAGCAAATATCTCATAAAATTTTAAATAATAATTGCAATAATAAATTAATATTTTTGGCATACCTGTCCAACATTCTCTTCCATTTCATCTTCGCGGGCATCATTGGTAATACGGCCAATGTAACCTCCTTGAGGACCCAAGCCATTACGATCATCCATCATGCGTTGAGGTTGATTGTTTACTACCTTTCCATCGTCATTTCCTTTCCAAGTACCTTCATCTTCCTTGAACGACGAACCCCTAAGCACGATTTTATTAGTAATTATGTGTTCATTTAATTTAAAAAAATAATATCGAATTGTCAGAAAATTTTCAAAAACTGAATACAAATAATTAGTACATCAACCTTCAAATATTTCGCACTTACTTAGAAACACCCTGTACACCATCGGTGTGTTTTCGTGTCGATGCTTTAAATCTTGTGTTGTGTTTTTTTTTTATAGTGTCATCCTCCTTTTTACCCCGCGAACTTTTTTGTTGTGCACCGCTGACTTTGACCGAACAAATTTTTGAATTTGTTGTAAAATTAATTTTTTTTTTCTTTTTTAAGTTATTTTTTTATATAAAAATTTTACCTTGCGGCATGTTTTGTTTGTTTCATGCCAAATTAATAAAAATGTGACTACATCATACAGGATGTCCTAAAATTGTGTTGAAACAATTGCACGTTTTGAACGGTAATAACTTGCTTATTACCGTTAAATGGAATACCCTCCTGTATTTTATGACAGAAACCAATGCAAAAATTACTTTTCTATTGAATGCTAAAATATATACCTAATTCTTCAGGTTTTTATGGAAATCGCATACTCCCCCAACGGACTTCTATTTATCCGTAAAATAATACTTTTATAAAATTAAGTAGTTTAGGCGCAACCTTCCGTGTCGTATAATCTGAATAATCCTGTATAGAAACGAACACTAAAATTGGAAGTAACGGATACATACGGGTATTAAGTTCTTCAGTTCGTTTACAGCATCGATGTTTACAGCACTACTAAATACATTACTCACTTCTGACAAGGCAAAACGCACAACCCGCAACATTTTTCCATTCCTGTTAAGTTCTTTTCGGCCTCTCGCATATCGGTGTTGATTTGGTCCATGCCATCCTCAATTCGGTCCAATTGTTCTGTATAACACAACATAATATAATGCAGATGTATTGCTTTCAACCCATCCCAAGACGTTAGTCTATGGCTTATTAGTCTGTTTTGTGATCAACCGTGTTTAATTTCCTTACTTACAACAACCATGCTCATGCTCTAGTTACTAGACCTACCCTAATTATAATGACCTTAAAAATTGTAGAAATTAACACTATTTATATCATCTTTATCCTTTGTAGTAAGTATGAACTAGGCAATTTTGTAAGGCCATCACAACTGATACTAAAAGCCAACATCGTTGAAAGGGTCATGCTATAAGGTATTTGGTATATTCTGGCATAAATATAACTGAGTGTAAAAAAATTGTGAAGTGTTGCCAACTTACTTTAGTGTTTTGGCCTTGTTTTTAGTCAATGATCTTTAATTCAAAAATCGTTAGACTATAACTGGTTATTTAACTATCCGACGGTATTGAAAATTACTTTTATGTTCTCTCATATTACTTACCCAAAGACAGTAAAAAACTGAGTAAAATTGTTACGCTCAAGTCATAAGAACGCCAAATTGTACGAATGTAAGTAATATGATAAAATAGTCTTTATTAACTTCAATATGAATTAATTAATCCTTATTTTTGACTTCATGTAAATGATCTTTGACAAAATATGTTCTAACATGTACAGGATAAGCTTCAAATGAGAAATTGAAATTTTGAAAAAGCGAATTTTTTTAAATTTATTTTAGAATTTTCAAAGACATTACCCGAAAAATGTCAGTCAGTATTTTAAGTAAAAGTAAAAATAATATGTTTTTTGCGTACAAAGAATAGCTTAATAGAAACTTTGCTAAAACTGGACTGACCTGAAATTTAAAAGAAACTTGAAAAAATCTTCAAAGCGATGAGGGTGGCGAATTTTCGAAGTCATTTTTTTGCTCTCTGGCCGTATTTTCAAGATAATCTGAATTGGTTTCGGTAAAAAACTGTATAAAATTATTTGGTTTTTGGGCCAAATTCGAAGCTGAAAAGAGTTTCCAAAAGTTTCCTGCAAACCGATGAATGAGGCGAATTTTCTAGCAAAACTAATTTTGTCATTTTTGGCTGAAAAGATCCCATTATTGTCAGAAAAGAAGAAAATCATCAGAAAATAATGTTTTTTTGAAAAGCAAATGAAAATTGAAAGATTTTGAAGAATGCGATTTTGAACTGCGTATTGATGAGTAATTGCAAATATTTTCTGCGAATAAAAGAAATGAGAACCATTTTCATCAATCTTACGAAATATTATAAAGTTTAAATTAATTTATTTTATTATTAACTTAAGTAATATAAGACTAAATCCTCCCAAGTAGCAACTTTAAGACTAATGAACGATAGACTAATTAGGTACATTTAGTTTAACAAACAGTTTTTGCTCTTGCAGTTATACCACTTGAGCATAAAAATAAAAGGAAAGAGTGCGTCAGGGATGTGTTTTGTCGCCTGTACTGTTCAATGTATATTTTGAGCAAATATTTCGTGGGACGATGAATGGCCGTACGGAGGGTATAAGAATCGGAGGAGAAATCATAAATAACATTAGATATGCCGACGATACCGCCATCCTCACTAAAAGTCTAACAGATCTCCAGACTCTGCTTGAGACAGTAAATGAATCAAGTCATCGAAGAGGATTAAAAATGAACATCAACAAAACCAAATGTAAGGAGGTGGAAAAGGTGGACGATGGGCCGAGACAACTACTTCTGGATGGAAAAGTGGTGGAGCATGTAGATCACTTCAAATATCTTGGTAGCTATCTGAGATGAGAAGACTCCGATGAGATGAAGAAATCTTAACTCTGATTGGAATAGCTTGCAAAACATTTATATCATGGAAATCAGTTCCTTGCAATAGCAATCTCTCCATGCATCTACGAAAAAGATCTTAAAGTGCTGCGTGTGGTCAACATTGCTCTACGCCTGCAAGACGTGGATGTTGAAAGCTGGCAACATTAATAATCTTGCGTCCTTTGAATTGTAGTATAACCGTTGAATCCTGAAGTTACTGCAACGGAAATGGCCTGGGGTACTCACATTTGAAATGGGAGCCCCATTTGCGCCCCATTTACTGTCAAATATGACTGACAAACGGGAAATTTCGCACCTGGGCTGGAGATTTCGAGAACCGTCTGGGTTACCTGTACTGTCGGAAGACCGAGTTTTCCGTTTGTTATTGTTATTGTTTGTGAAGTTGACGTTAATTTAGAAGTTAGTTTGTTCCTGTTCCGTATTTAAAGTGATACCGAGTTGAATAAAAGTTGGAAGCTGAAGAAAGAGTTTGATACCCGGCCATCCACGGTACATTTGGTGTCAGAAGTGGGATTTACCAAAATCCAAGTTGAATTTTGATGGAAACAAGAAGTAAATCAAAGAAGGAAGACCCTGCAATGGCGAACCACAGTTTGATTGCACTGCTCATGCAGATGAAAGACGAAATGAGCAAAATGAATGACAACGACAAAGAGATGCTGGATGAAATGGCCGACAGTAAGAAAGTGATGAAAGAAATGAGATTTAAAATGGACGACAACGCTAAGAAATTTGAAGACCTGAAAACAACCGTTGAAGGCAAACTAGAGAACATCGAGGAAGTGACTGACGATTTGGAAAACACTGAAATCGTGGACATTCCTGCATTAGTGGAAGATACATTAACAGCGGCGAAAGTGAAGGAAGTGGTAAAGACGGAAAGTATAGCAATTTTGGAATCACAGGACGAACATACTTAAGAACTCCCATCAGACAAGGTGATTACGGACGAAGCGACTATTGTGAAGACTGAAGAATTGTCGGTTGCTGATAAAACTGTGAGTGATAAAATCGACGACATCACTAGGCCAGTGGAACATAAGTATGTAACTATGCAGAAAAATGCGCAAAATCTGCTGGAATCAGCGAAAATTAAACCCGAAATAATGCTCAAAAGGAAAACTGTGGAACTGGACTTAGAAAAAGTAGTTTGTTTGAGTGAAGAATCATCTGATTCTGAGTGCAATGGGCCAACTAGCGATAAACCCGTACATGATTTCCCAGCATTAGATGAAGACGCCAATTTAATTAAAATCGCTACTGAAGTTGAGCAATTTTCCATCGAAGAAAATGCGCCAGCCGAAGCTCAGCCTGATGTAGAATCCATAAGCGCTGCATCGAATTTGGAGACTTATTTAGCAGTGGCGCCATTACAGAACGAATCTGTTATTGACACCACCAGAGAGCATCGACGGTTAAGCGAAAATAAAATTACGGAAAAGGAATCCATCGATAATAGACGATCCAACTTGCTGAGGAACGAGCGGGCGCAGCAGTATCTGTTCGATGTCAATGAGGCCGAGAGCTGGATGAGCGAGCAGGAGCTCTACATGATGATGGAAGATCGGGGCAAAGATGAGACCAGCGCCAGGAACTTCATGAAGAAGCATGAAAGTCTGGAAGCGGCCGTTGAAGCTTATGCGGACACCATCAGAGGACTGGGTGAATCTGTAAAGACCCTGTCGGCTGAAGGACATCCTTTGGCCGAGCAGGTCGCTGTTAAACAGTCGCAACTGGACAAGCTGTATGCCGGACTGAAGGATTTGGCGCAAGAACGTCGCGCTAAGTTGGATGAGGCCTTGCAGCTCTTCCTGCTCAACAGAGACGTTGGCGACTTAGAGCAGTGGATAGATGATCGCGAAGTGGTGGCCTCTTCTCATGAACTGGGCCGAGATGCTGGTTCTGTTTCAACGCGCAAACATCAGAACTTCATTCAAGACCTACAGACGCTTCAGAACCAAGTGCAACAGATCAAAGAGGAATCGGTCAAGCTTCGAGCCAGCTATGCGGGCGACAGAGCTAAAGAGATCACAAATAGAGATCAAAAAGTGGTGTCTCCGTGGGCCAGTTTGCAAATGGTTTGCGAGCAGCGCAGAAGAAAACTGGAAGATACTGGCGATCTGTTCAAGTTCTTCTACCTGGTGAGGACGCTGATGCAACGGATGGACAACGTGGTGCGCCAAATGAACACCAGCGAAAAGCCGCGCGACGTCGGCGGCGTTGAACTGTTGATGAGCAATCAGAAGAGCCCTCAGGCAAAATTTAAAGTTATCCACATTCATCGTTTGGCCAGACATAACGATGATCCAGGAATTACCTAATCGGGCCGATCAGGGTTTAGAAGGGGGGCAGTGTAACGGAAATGGCCTGGGGTACTCACGTTTGAAATGGGGGGATTGAAATTGATGGTATTTCAGTAAATGGGAGCCCCATTTGCGCCCCATTTACTGTCAAATATGACACTGACAAGCGGGAAATTTCGAGAACCGTCTGGGTTACCTGGAGGAAACTATATAAGCGGCGACGAGAACCAGAGGGGAAGAGTCTCCTCTCCGATCAGGAGATTGAGGCCAAAGTCAATAGACTTGCGGCCCTAATCTCCCAAAATCCTATCCTCAAAATGCTATGCTAAGCAATAGCATTAAACCCCAAGGTGTCCAT